TTGATATATGCATGTTGGTTGAAATGCAAAGGAAACGCTTTAAGTATATTCTCTCTAATGTAATGTTCACATAGTCTTTCAAGCGTCTTTAAAAGAAATGATGAGAGACTAATTGGTCGAAAGGCTTTAGGATCCGTTTTCCATTCTTTGGTATAAAGGTTACTGTAACCTTCCTCCAGCTGATGGGAACGTAGTTAAAGGCTAAGCAGGCCTTAAAAACTCTCATCAAGTGTATTTTCATATCCTCTAGAGTGCTATTTTCTGGTGATTTTTCCTAGTGTAAATCTGACTTTCGCGTTTACTCCTCCTGGTTTAAAAACAGAGTATAGAAACCTTCGGCTTTTGCCGTGCGTCTTTTAAGAAAAGGTTTGACGTTTCGGATGCCATGTTGCAACCTTCTTCAGAAACTGGTTCAAAGTCACTTCTGCAACGTTCCATTGTGCCGGTAGTTTTACAAATATTACAAGACTATTAAGTACGGACTCAAACGTCCAGTTGATGCTTTAAAATTTATTATTAATTATGAAAACAAAATGTCAATTTTGACGTAAGTCACAAGTTGGAACACAAAATTGTAACTTATGACTTTGACATTAACCGTTATATTTTGGGGGTTATAGATAAAAAATGTTTAGTTTAAAATCTGGAGAAGTAATTATAAGAGATTTTTCAACAATAGCAAATAGTATGAAACAATATAGAGTAATACCTGACGTAATAGATTCTCCACCAGAAAAAATTTGCGAAGTGATTTTTCCAAGCGGTGCAAAAGCAAATTTAGGAAATATGTTAACTCCAACACAGGTGAAAGATAAACCAATGGTAAAATGGGTAGCTGACAAAAATAGTTTTTACACTCTTTGCGTTAGCAATCCGGACGTACCGCATCGGGATATTCCAAGAATGAGAGAATGGCTACATTGGTTAGTTGGAAATATACCGGGAAATGAAATCGCTAAAGGAGAAATTTTAGCGGATTACATCGGCGCTGGGCCATCGAAAGGTAGTGGGTTTCGTCGATATGTTTATCTTATTTATAGACAAATAGATAAAATTCCGTATAGCGAGAAAATTTTAACGAGTAGTTCAACAGATTATCGAAATAATTTTTCGATTAGGAAATTTGCGGATAAATATAAATTGGAAAAACCTACCGCGGGAAACTTTTATATAGCCGAATGGGATACTTCTGTTCCAAAATTATATAAAAGATTAGGTTTTAAACAAGATGAACCTATGAAATGATGTAATTAAAAAAAATAAATCAAAAAGATTTTAAAGAGATCAAATCATTTTCATAAGTCCTAAAAATACTTATCTATTAATAAATCTATCTATAAAAGCCAAAAATATCAAAAGACCAACTTATATTGATAGCAAAACAGTTTCTATGTTTGTCAGCGAAACTTCTTTGATGTTTTCACCCTCTAATAATAACTCATATTACACCATTTTCCAACAAAAACTCCTAAAACCATTTTGTAAGTAGCAGAAAATGTTCGTTGAAATCATCTTTACTTCGTATTGAATCATTTCTTCTCAACAGAAATTTTCCTAGAATTAATTTATTATTTTTTAATCCCTAATTTACTCGAACTAATTATACTCGACGGCTAAGTGAACTTCACCCATAATTGTGTATTATGAGAAACTCGTGGAGTTAGACCAATATTGATTCGAACATTCGGTAATAAACCTATACCAATTAAATGTCTAATTGTTTCGTGGCTCTAGCAGGAAATACACGTATACTATAATACGATATAATTCCAATTAGGAATTGTTGCATTAACCTAGAAAGAAAAATATTTAATATTATAAAAGTCATTTAAGAGGAAGACTGTAATCGTACAAAAATTTATTATTAAGAAGGATCGTCATATTGAGGGGCATTGAATCCATTTCGAATATTTTTATTTTATTTATTTATCATTTATTGCCACAGACAAAAATACAAAATTACATAAGATACACTTAACTTAAACAGTATCAGCAAATGGATCATTTTATCGCACAAGCGATCTCTGCCAAATGACCCAACAGAACAAACAAAAATAAAAATAGTATTTGCTGAATATGGCAAGTAGTGATAATTAGATATTATTAACATCACCAAATAAGATTAAGCAAGAAAAGAAAAACAAAGAGAAAAATAAAGAAAAGACACAAAAAGAGAGATAGAGAGCGACTAAAAGAAACTAAAAGAATCTGCCGGATATCAGTTGCCAACAAGTGAGAGCAGTTGAAGAGAGGAAAAAAAGAGAAAGACAAAGAACAAAGAATCAGGAAACAGCCAGTTGAAGGGCAAGCAAGTGGCTCTTTAAAACATGTCTAAAATTAGTAATTCTAGAAATATTACGAATTTCAGAAGGCAGTCCATTCCACAGCGCAATCGACTGTACTGTAAATGATCTATGATAAATTTCAGTGCTATGAACGGGAAATGTAAGAATAGTATCAGAACGTGAACGAGTAGCAAGCTCATGAGTTGATAATTGCTGGAACCTATCTGATAAGTACTTTGGGGTGCAGTTATGAAGGATTTTAAATAAAATGGTTAATAAACGAAAGGATCTACGTCTCTCACAGGTTAACATCTGAATGTAATTGCGATACGGCGTTACATGCTCAAATCTATTTAGGTCAAATATGAACCGGATACAATTATTTTGTAGCCGCTGCAATTTACTCAGAAGAGTCACCGAGAGATCGGGATAAACCGCGTCCGCATAGTCGAAGTGAGGAAATATAAGAGAGTAACAAAGATTACGACGCACCACAGGAGGAAGAGAGCAGCGAAGTCTTTTTAAAGAGTGGAAGCAAGCATAGACTTTTCTGCAAACATGTTGAATTTGCGGTTTCCAAGACAGTGCAGAATCCATAAGGACTCCAAGATTTTTAACTGTGTTAGAAAACCGTATGACATTACCATCCAGCATCAGATCACTGCAGGCAGATGGATTAATCTTACCAAGTAATTGACGAGTTCCAAACACAATAGCTTGCGTTTTAACTGAGTTCAACTTAAGTCCGTATCTCCGAGACCAGTTCAAGACGTTAGATAGATCGTTATTAAGTCGCACAATAGCTGCCGGAAATTCAGCAACAGTAGTAGTAGTATATATCTGCAGGTCGTCGGCATACAAATGATAATTACACGAGATATAATTAGTAACACTATTAACGAACAAAGAAAAAAGTAACGGACCCAATACACTGCCCTGAGGAACACCACATTTGATTGCACAAGCAGAAGAAATTGAAGAGTTAGCGCGTACGCACAAGGAGCGATGGGAAAGGTAGGATTGAAACCAAGAAACACAGGGGGGAGTGAATCCGTAGGCAGAAAGAGACGCTAAAAGAAGGCTGTGGTCGACAGAATCAAAAGCCTTGCTGAAATCGAGCAGTACCAGCACAGTAACACATCTGTTGTCGCAGGCATACCTAATATCATCAGTAACTTTAATGAGAGCAGTAGTTGTACTATGCCCACTGCGAAAACCCGATTGCAACTCATTGTGTAAATTAAACCTCTCTAGAAATCCTTGGACTTGTAAATAAACTAAGCGTTCAAGAGCTTTTGATAGTACGGATAAAATTGAAATCGGACGGAAATCAGTGTTACATGAAGAGGACTTGGATTTGGGTATGGGAACGACATGAGCAACCTTCCAGACAGAGGGAAATAAAGACCGCTCAAAAGAAAAGTTGAAGATATGAGTTAAGGGAGGAAGCACTATATCCAGGATAGGAAGAAGAAGGTTGAGACCGATACCATCAGAACCCACGCAAGGGGACTTCGAATAAGTCAAAGCATCGCCTACTTCGATCGCGGTCACAAGCGTAAGAGAGAAGGAGCAAGATTTAAGAGAAGTAAGAATTTCATTAATTGTAGCCGCCTTAGTTACGTCATCGATGATCAGGGGAGGCTCTGCAAAAAAGTTTGCCATCGACTCACAATCAAGATCCATCTGGACAGACGGAGAATCAATCACTCCGAGAGACCTCATAGTCCTCCAAAATGTTCTGGGCGCGACTCCAGACAACCTCTGGTAGAAATAAGATCTCTTAGCATACTTGCATTTATGATTGCGTAAAATTCGATAATTTTCCCGATTAGCACTAGAGCGTGTACGTTTAACTACGGACTTTGCACGGTTACGCAGTCGCATAAGAGATTTTTAGCGTTACATATGTGTATGTAAAGGAACTCGAAAACGACACTAATTGCAGTGATGATACCAAATTTCGGATTTCTATCAAATTTTATGCTAAATCCATTAACTGGTAGTGCATTTTGTGTAATCTTTTATTTTAAGCACTGATTATCAATTAATATTTGACATATATATAATATTTAACATTTGACACAGGTGTACAACCTATCTTTTGATAGAAGGGTAACTTACTCTAAAAGCGTGGTAAATTTCTTTATTTAAAAGTCCAAAAATATGACGTTTTTGTCACCAGCTCAGTTTCGATAATCAAATATGCCCTATATGCATCGCAAGGTCGCAACAAAGTTGTTAAGACAAATAAACATTCGAGCTTCCAACAACATTTACATTATGTTCACAAATATTCCAAATTTTCCGTAAAGGTTGAGGTGGCTAAGATAATATTAAATACACGTTACTTTTCCAACGGTTTTAGTTATTATATCTTAGTTAATACGACAAAAAAGGTATAAATAATGTGTAAAAAAGTCTTGGACATAATCCTTAAGTAATAACCTTTGATTTATTAATGTTCACATTTTCCTTTCTTCCAAGGTACCTAAACTGAGAAAATAAATGGCGACGTGTAATGCGATTTCATAGAAAAATACGAATTTATCAACGTTTCCTAAAAGTACATCCATTTTTCATCAACTTTTTTTTACTTGTTGGTAGTAAATGGAAAAGGGGACAACAGGCAGCATACCTTTAGCTGGGTGATTTATGAGTTGCTCTGGGTATTAATCTCAGGCCTAAAAGGTTGATACTCAACAACCATCATCTATTATAACAACGGAGATGGATTTATATTTAAAAAAAACGTTTCTTCAAGAAAATATTTGTATTATGGTTTTTCTTGTTAAATTCAAAGTTTTCTTGTTTAAGGTTTTTTTTTAAGGAAAAATGGTGTTTACGAGTTGTCGTAAAAGTTATTTTCGTTTAGAAGATGATTTTTATTTGTAATAAAAATCTAGTACTTTGCGAGAGTATTAATATTGAATATCTTTGTTAAAACCGAGCCAAAATCATTTTTATTTTGTAATATTAATTACGAGGGAATATCGTATATTGAATACAAAGAGATCATTCAAATTCGGAACGAACATTTGCTCGCTTTTCGCAACAATAACGTCACTAAGAGAGAAATTTGTCGAGGACGCATTACAAAGACGTATTACGATCGACCTTTTCATGCTCCAATAACTTTAATGTAGGTACGCCACCAAACTGCAACGTATCCAATATCCACGTCAAGGTATAAGTTCAATTGTAGAAATTGACTACTAAACGTCATTGTACGTAACGTTTTTTTTAATATCTTAATTCATTTCGATCTTATTTTCTAATCGGATATACTGAAACCATTCCAATCGATTTCCAAGGGAAATAAACAATTTCCCTTAAAACAGTTTCGAAAGCTTTGGAAATTGATGGAAATTGGAAAGCTTCGATGTTGGGAATTAATTTAAGCCGGATTCTCGTTTTAAATTGTTGGTTAACGTACCTAGCTCTAGATTACGATTTCAAAGTGCTTTAAAACTTGAAACTTCCCAAATAATGATTCCTATATAAAAAAAAATAACTCTTGGCTGAGAAATCGATGAAATAGAAATTAATCTGTAAAATAAATCAGGAATATTTTCATTATGAAGGTTGTAAAAGTAAATCTGTCCGTAACTGGAATGAATTATCCCAAAAACTTTTGAGCTGAGTCCGGAAGAATAACAAAAGTCTTCTTAACGATTTTTACGTTCACTTCAAAATTTTCGTTATCCTCACAAAAACTTTCCCTTGTAAGTTTCTTAATTTTGCAAACTACCCACCCACCATCAATCATTTTGAAACTTTTATGAATTTTTTCAAATCACACCTCAACTTAATCTTATCAGGGAATACTTTTTCATAAAGTTATCGAATAAACTTAAAATTACAGAAAAAAGTTATTTCTGTTAGATAACAACGTTATCTGGTGTCGTTTCATGAATGCAATTTCCCATCTCGTTTTCCGGAACGCTAACATTTTCATCCCTTGAATAAACAATGAGGCTTGCGAACAAATGTTCTTCCGATAAGGATTGGAGGGAAAATGGTATTCAGAGGTATATTCTGGAAAATTTCATCGAAAAAAAAGTCAGCAACGGGTCAACTTTCGTTCGTAGATCGTCCAATTTTCTAGCCGACCGCTTTTCAATGCTACATTTTCATGACTTTTTTTTTGTCGGCATTTTTTGTTAATTTATGACTTTTTATTATTTTAGGCTGTGATTTTCGATGAAATCGAACTCACCGACCTGTGCCTAGCCGAGTGTTCCATAAAAAACATAAATCATAGTTTTCAGGTAAGTTTAAAAACATTTATATTTCGATTAATTTAGATAATTAGATATACAGGGTGGTTCAAATTCGATGTCCGAATAGGCTAACTCGAAAACTATAAGAGTTAGAAGAAAAGTAGCTGACATGTCATGATCTCGTTTTTCGAGAAACTGCTAATGCCGAAAACCTCATAGCGCTATCGTCTTTTGTTTTTCCGCTAGAGGCCAAAATTGAAAATATCGTAAAACCCGCAAATGTAATTATCTTGGTTATTATTATAGGTGGAGTATTATAACTAAGACATTATATGGACACTTTTTTACAGAGAATTTGATGACGTAGTCAAAAAAATTTTGTCGGTTTTAGATTTTGAGATATTATCACAATTTTCGTTTTTTTAAATGGAAACAACCACTGATTATTCGCTTAATAAATTCGTTATTTTTTTCTGATTACAAAAATATAGGGTTTGACAGGTCTATTTCTTATTGTTTTAGAATAAAACTAAAAATAAACTTTTCTTTTAGTGTCGTCGAAGAAATTAAATTTACAGTTTCCTGTAAATTACGGTTCTATAACTAAAAATTAAAAAAACATATTTCTGATATTTGAAACAAATATATTTGTTGAACTGTTTAATTTATATATGTTTTACACAAAAGTTGGAATAGATTGCATTATTTCACATTTTTTATTACGATTTAATATTATTTTTAAATGACTTAATAAATTATCGATAGATGGCGCTCATATGTTTTTTTTTTTTAATTCAAATAAACATAGCAACATTTGTTTGTATTCAAAAATTTTCTGAAGTGTCACTTTAAAAATCCTGTTTTTAAGATCAATTACGAAAATTTTGAAAAGTTTGACATGTTAGAATGTTACATATTAAAAAATTATTTGTTTTTAAATACCAGAAGTTATCTTCGTATTTAATTGTTAACTTTTTAGATTTTACCTACCGCCCCGTAACTTACAGGAAACTGTAAATTTAATTTCCTCGACGACACTAGATGGAAATTTTAAAAAAAAAGTTTATTTTTAGTTTTATTCTAAAACAATAAGAAATAGACCTGTCGAACCCTATATTTTTGTAATCAGAAAAAAATAACGAATTTAATAAGCGAATAATCAGTGGTTGTTTCCATTTAAAAAAACGAAAATTCTCATGATATCTCAAAATCTAAAACCGAAAAATTTTTTTTGACTATGTCATGAAATTCTCTGTAAAAAAGTGTCCATATAATGTCGTAGTTATAATACTCCACCTATAATAATAACCAAGATAATTGCACTTATTGGTTTTACGATATTTTCAATTTTGGCCTCTAGGGGAAAAACAAAAGACGGTAGCGCTATGAGGTTTTCGGCGTTAGCAGTTTCTCGAAAAACGAGATCATGACATGTAAGCTACTTTTTTTCTAACTCTTATAGTTTCCGAGTTAGCCTATTCGGACATCGAATTTGAACCACCCTGTACAGTGAAATAAGCAAAATTTTAATAACTGTCAAAATAAAATCGGAAGACAAAATTTCTAGTTCAGAGATTTAAATATCATGAAGGTGTAGAATTATCACAATATGAAGATATTGTGATAATCCCTCATCCATAAGTTTTCCTTACAATAATTTCAATTTCCTCCCCAAAAGCTTCATTGCAGTTACAAGACACTTCTTGGAAAATGTAAAATGTGGTTAACAACCCTAACTAATTTTAGCATGCTTAACACGACAACTACATTTATCTTTTAAACTTGAAACTTATCCCCCTTGAAGCGACGATATTACACATCGCAAATTCATATAAATGTCACGAAATTGTTCATTTGGAAGTTACTACGCATATTCCGCAACCATGAAATTTAGACACTCTTCTGAAAATGTCTAATTAACGCAGCAATAAAAGTCACAAAGTGATTAAATAAAATCAAATTTATATTTAGGGATAATAATAAAAGATGAATTCGGCTAAAAAATGAAAAATTGCGTGACTATGTTACACAATTCCGAAACAATTTTCATGCAAATTTGCCGGAACCTCGGAAATGATTCAATTTCCGTCTATAACATAAAAATTTGTTTCAAAACGTTTTATAACAAAGAAAAATATAAAAATGTATATATTTCAAACGTATTTTATAACATTGTTAATCTAAAAAGTTTGTATTGAATCGTACCCACATCGTATCGACATTTTTTTTTATTTCCTTACATCTAAACTTTTACAACATCTTTTACGTTACAACTACGGCTGTTTTACGTCTTTTTTACGTTCCGTTTCGTTATATTCCACTCAATTAAGTAATACTACATTGTAATATAACATTTTAATACATCTTATTTATTTTTTACGACCTTTAAATAAAAAATTAAAAAGTAAATTAACAATAAACTCCAATGACATTAGATTTTTTGACGTTTAGTAATATTAACATTAGTTCTAACGTCAATTAGTTTTAATGACATAATGAGATTTTAAAAATTATAACCTATATTTTGACCAGATGGACAGTGACGATTTCTTTTTAATTAAATTATTTAAATCGAAAGTAATTTAGTTTTGTGTGCAACTAAGGATTGTTAAATAAGGTTAGTTTTCTTTTGAAATGTCAATCATCCTCCGGAAAAAATGTTGAGTAAGGTTAGTTTACTTTTAAAATTGCAATTATACCGTGGAGGAATGTTGGGCAAGGTTAATTCTTTTGAAATATACCGGGAATTTCATATAACTCGCAGCACTAACTTCTAGAGCAAAACTACAACTAACACTAAACCTAGAACTAAAAAGTATCGGGATTAGCCGTGCCTCTTCAAACATGTATTGATATGTTACATTTTATGTGAGAGAAAGTACATACATACCTGGTTTCTATGGAAATATATTTTTGTATATTACATCTTAAGTGAAATTCACTGTATTTTCTTATGAAAAAAATAGTATAGTTCATTTTTTTTCTATAATACCTGTCAATTTGTTGTAAAGTTGGCAAAATTAACAGGGAGTTTTGTTTTATCATGTTTTGAAGTAAATATGTCACATTGACGTTTGAGCTTTCGTTATTCAAAAAGAAAAGGTGCATAAAAAGTGTTGTGGGGTGTTTATTTGCCATTTACTTACCTAGAAAAGGTATTTTATTCTATTTAATTACTTTGTAGCACATTTTTATAACAAATATGTACTTCGTCAAAATCGTATTTATCTAAAAATTTATTAGTATTTTAACCTCAACTAATTAGTTACTGACAATGTTACTAAAAATCATGAAAACAACATAAATTTTATAAGAGTCCTAGATAATACCAACAGAAACCCTAAATAATTTACATTGACAAGTATTATAGAAAAAAAACGAACTATAGTAATAGAATGACGTTAGATGTTTGACAGTGACATGACATTAAAATTAGCCCTAATGAAATTTAGAGATTTTGAACGTTAAAAAAATTTGTTTTCATTAATTAACCATTTATTCCATCCATTAAAGCGATCATCCTTTGATGTTGTTCACTTTGCTACTTCCTGCAATAACAGCACCATAACAGCACGTCAGTTGAAGAGATAAACCGTTCGAAAACGGTGTAAGGCGACGAGCAAAACAAAGCCTCCGAATTAATTTCGAAGTACAAAAGCGTCCGATAAAACTTTATAGAATTCACGACGTTTTCAAGCTTGGTATAAATTAGTTTTCCAAACAGGAAATTGAGCAGAAGGAAAATTTGTTAATTAGAACCCATTTTAAAGTTTAAACTTAATTTCAACAAGTCAACACCTTTCATTAATACATTTGCATCAATTAAATTCTGTATTAAATATAAAATATTGGTAGAAATCGATGTTTTTGTTTTAGGAAACGTTAGTTTTTCTCTGAAAGCACCGATTTATTGATTCCGTGAAAACGATTCATATTAAATCCTTGGTAAATAGCAATGTAACGTGAATAGGAACAATTTTGAATAGTGCTTTGTTATTCATAACCTAATTTCTTTCTTTTGTAAAATAGGTAATCACGCCGTATAGATCATTAGTGTTGTGCGCTGAATCTCGTCGCGAAATGGAGGAATGGGTTAGTGCTTTACATAATGCGAGTAAACGACGTTATTATGAGAATGATCAACCTGATTGTTTATCGGGATGTCATCATTGGTAACAATAATAATAATAATAATAACTTTTTAATTACGTTTTTTTAATAAATATAGGTATGCTACTTCACATGCAAGACCAACATATTGCAATGTTTGCAGAGACGCTCTTCATGGTGTTACTAGCCACGGGCTTAGCTGTGAAGTGTGCAAATGCAAAGTACACAAGAGATGTGCTGCCAAAGCTATTAATAATTGTAAATGGACCACGTTATCGTCGGTTGGAAATGAAATTATCGAGGATCCCGATGGGGTATGTATTATTAAAGAGCGACGTCATCACGCTCTCGAGTACTTTCTCGATTTTTCCTTTTAAGCCTTTATAGGGTATAATGATTTAAAGGCGATAATTTAAAACTAATCCTGGATTTAGTTACATTATGAGATAAGAAACCAAAATATACATATATTTTATTATTATTATTATTATTTCTATGGTGGGAATTATATTCCCTTTGCCTGTGCAACTACCTCCATAGTAATAACTAAAGTACTTACAAAAAAAACATATTTATTCGCATATATATATATATATATATTACACACATAGCTTATCCTTGATTATTATATTGATTAATAATAATTACCTACTGCCTGTGAAATGCAGTAAAGCAAGGGACAACGCAGAGAGGTACTGCACATCTTTCGCACATTATTTTAGTGCGTTTATCGTTTGTTTTCGTACTGCAAAGTCTGCATCGTTTATATGTCTCCGACGGACAAGGTAAATGATCTCCAACATTCGAGAATCGTACTTCATCAGCAACCACATGAATGGCTTTCTGGCGAGTGTCGGCCTGTATCAACTTTTTTCTGATCACGTAGGTGGGATCGTCTTTTTCGACTGGAGTATACACCAATAAGCCCTCGAGCTAGGGCTACGCGAAACTCCAAATGCGTCAGATTTACTTTACTTATCTTGCTCATAATAAAAGCGTTAATGATGCTAGCATCAAGGAGAAAGTAAAAAAGGCGAAGCCACCATCGTTTGCTTCTTCTTCCAACTGTGTATGTGGTTTTGATCTGGTCGAATTTATCCACGCCTCCCATTCGCTTAGTATACTGCTTAATGGCTAAAGGGCAGCGAATTGGCACTTTACTGCCGTCTTTCTGAGTCCTCAAAGTAGTACAAACTCCGACTTTTGGATGGAACGCACTGCTCAAAAGTAGTACCTCCTTATTATCCTGCCAAATTATAAAAGCAACATTGTCCTTCACACGCCATTTAAATTCACCCTTAGATAGCTTTAGTTTTCTAGCGTTTGGACCTTTTGTAAGTTGAGGTAATCCTTCTCTGTGCCTACGCACGGTGCCAGTTGCATATATGTTATGTTCATACAAATATTCTAAAAGTTTGTTATCTGTGAAGAAGTTGTCAAATGTAACGTGAACATTCTTTATATTGTTATCAATTAAATGTTGCGTCAAGTTCTTCACGACTTTTGCTCCCAGCCCTTTTTCCACTCCATCCGTTTTCCCAGTATAAATACTAAATTCATACAAATATCCTGTCTCACTGTCGCATCTACACCAAATTTTGTATCCCCGTTTGATGGGCTTGAGAGGTAGGTATTGCTTTAGCGAAGACCGTCCTTTGAAGAGTACCATTGACTCATCAATACTCTGTGAACTAGATAAATTGACATTATTTTTACAGGATTCGTTAATAATATTTATCAATGGCCTCAGTTTGAACAACCTATCGTATTCGGGACTATTTCTTTCAGGTTGTCGCGCGTTATCATTCAAGTGTAGGCTGCGCATAATTTTCTTGAACCTTTTTACTGGCATTATTTCTGCTATGTCATTTTCTCGAAAACCTGGATCAGACGACCAATACAGGTCTATCATGGGCAGAACTTTATAGCCCATTATTATGAGAATGCCTAAAAAGGCTTTTATTTCATCAGTAGTCACGGGCGTCCACTCTTTTATTTTCATTTGGTCGGCATATAAGTTTGTTTGCGACACAATAAGTTCTATAGCTTCATTTGTAAAAAACTTTTCAAAAAAGCGGATGGGCCTAGTTTTAGGATTGAAGCTTTGCTTAGTAGTCAAAGGAATCTTGTCAAAATCTTCAGCAACGGGCCGAGAAGTCCAATATGTTTTTTTCCATGTCTCTTCTTCGAGATCAGAATCATCAGTGTCGTCAGGTGAGGTACTGAGTTCGGAAGTTGAATATCGAGATCGCGTCAACCGCCTAGCCGGCCTTACAGTAATTGAGCTACTATTTTCAATTTGTTGACTTACATACACGGACAGGTCTTCACTTTGTAAATCAGCTGGTGGAATGGCTTCAGTATCCATAATTTCTGATGATTGTAGGCTGGTCTGATTATGCAGGAGGTGCGGAGACATTGACGGATCATCGGGATTTTCCAGTATTTTTTGAAGCCGAGCGGTGCTGTACGGAGCTTCTTCCTCTTCGGCTTCCAGGTTATCGTCAGACACTTCTGGGTCATCAGGCAACCCAAAAAGCTCTTCAAGCGCATGCTCTATTTCGAATTCTGATAAACCTTTGTCTAAGCCACTTTTTGCACTCATCTGCCAAAGCAAAGCAAAAAATATAGCAGCCACTCGCAGGCAGAGGGAATATGCTTCCCACCACAAAAAGCAATTTATTTGAAAAACCAGGATACCCAAAGATAAAAATATGTGTCAAAATACTTAGGACAAATCCAATATAACATGTAAATAATAAAACTTACCTCAAAATCTCGAAGATCTACAAAATAGACCGTTATACAAAATTTGGTACGAAAAAACACTATTTTTGAACATTCAACAGGTGACAGCAAAAAAACAATGTTATGACAGTTATGCATTTCTTCACGTCATATTATTGACAGATCACTAAATAAGTTGCCAACTTACAAAAGAAAATTAAATTTGATTATTTTCTTATAAAAAATTTAAAAAAATTATGGTGGTAAAAATATCACCTCTGCCCTAAAAAAGGTTAAATCGATTAATTACAATTAAGATGGTTTGTTTATTCATTTTCTTTATTAATTTATTAAAAATTACTTGATTTTGATTGAAATTGTCTTAATCGCCCAAAATTTGTTTCTTTTCTTATTTCTTGACACAGTTTAACCGATTTAAGCTATATTTATCCCGTCGAGTTGTAAACGACGACGTGAAATTCCTTAGCAGCTTGACCTACATTATCATTAAAAGCATTAAAAAATATTTTTAGACCTCTTTTAATTTTCGTTTTTCTTTTAAGAGCATCACAATGCCTCATCAATGGATGGAAGGAAATTTACCCGTTTCAGCGAGTTGTGGTGTTTGTCATAAACCATGTGGATCCGTTTTAAAGTAATTTATATAGTTATATTTTTATGGATTATTCTTAATTTTTTTTTGTTATATTTAGATTGGTAGGTTGGAGATGTCTCTGGTGTAGAACGACTGTACACGTCGAGTGCAGACCCCATTTACCGAAAGCATGCCCTCTTGGCCCAGCCAGGGTCAGCGTCGTTCCACCGACAGCGCTTCATTCCATTCAAGATGAAGCCTGGGAGTGTGTAAGACCTCAAGCGTCTTCACCACTTCTAGTTTTCGTCAATTCCAAATCTGGTATATATTTTTTTAAATTCAATTAAGAATTTTAGTTGTCATATCAACAATATATGAATATAAATCCCGGCGCATCCACCATTTCTGATATTGTAGATAAGTAGATGAAACAGAGTTTTTACATAGTTTTTAGAAATCACCACTTATATATGTTTCATTATGCAGCATGAAGGGAACTCATTATACAGAAACGTAACCATTGAGTCACAAGATCCACTATAAACTTTGTTGAAGCCTACAAAATTAGCAACAATAGAAGTCTTGAAACCTCTTGGTGTGACTACCTCTTCTAAGGAATTATCTAACATTTATACAATGACATATTCCACCATTTTGAACTCAAATAAAATGTGTGGGCGTTATCTAAAATAACACCTACACTATTGCATTTATGACCATTTCCAATACATGTCTGTAAACAACGTCGAAATCAATCATTGAAGTAGGTATCCTCTTCGACATTCCCCGTACTTGTCCCCAAAATACGATATTCGTATCTAGCTATAGACTCGACTGAACCTTGTAATTTCGCCAAGAAATGCACATGATGAATCTCAGTTATCAAATAAATTCAGTTTGTTATGTTTATACACAAAATGTCAAAAGTGGTGTGAAGTTGAAAATGTTCTGCTCGATGAGGTGAAAAGCAATAAATAGGAATAGTTACATTTAGCATGAATGTGAATGTAAAAGTTTAGTGTATACTTTATGTTGTGAATGGCAGTAAAATAAGATGAATAGAAAATATATTTTTTATTCAAGTTGAACTTTTGTACGATCCTTTGAAATAAAGCTATACAAAGTTGACCTATTTAACATAGTATTTGAACGAAACATTACATTCTGTAAACTTCTTTACTCATAAATATCTATTAATTCATATTTGAACAGCTTTATATCATCCAACACACGTAAACAAAAGTATTGTTCTATAGAGAATTGTTTTCCTGAAATTTCTGGTAAATATTTAACAGAGTTCACACCATGCTGGGTGTTCATCAAATATTTACTGTTAGTTTTTGCTGTTCCTTTGGGTTTGAACAGTATTTCAATTTATCCAACTTCACTTTATTCAGTTTAAAACCCATAAAAAATTTAAAAATTCGTTTTAGGTGATAATCAAGGTGTAAAATTCCTGCGCCGATTCAAACAATTATTAAATCCAGCTCAGGTTTTCGACCTGATAACAACGGGACCCAGGGTTGGCCTAAGGCTTTTCCGTCACTTCGATCCATTCCGCATCTTAGTTTGTAGTGGGGACGGATCCGTGGGATGGGTTCTTTCCGAAATCGATAAATTGGACATGCACGTAAGTATGCGATCGTAAATATTTACTTAAAAAAAAATTAGGTCACATTAATAAATTAAAAAATTCTTTTTAACAGAAGCAATGTCAGTTAGCAGTACTTCCATTGGGCACAGGAAATGATTTAGCTAGAGTATTAGGTTGGGGATCTTCATGCGATGACGATACTCATTTACCACAACTTTTAGAAAAATACGAAAGAGCAAGTACAAAAATTTTAGATCGTTGGAGTATAATGATTCACGAGCGAACGATAGCGATGCCAAAATTATCTTTGGTTCCGGGTGTAAGCGAAGAATTACACAGTCAAATGTCTGAATACGAAACGAATCTAGTCGATCATTTGCATAAAATTCTCCAATCGGATGAAACATCGGTCGTTTTATCATCCGCTAAGAGGTTGTGCGAAATCGTAAAAGAGTTTGCATCTCAAGTATCCGAAAGTTCATTGATACGCGGCGACGAGCAATTAAGTAAAAAATGTGATATTTTACAACAAAAATTAGATTTACTCCTCCAAACGTTGACCAGCGAACAAATAGACGCCACCAAAATCGAATTTGGCGACGATGAGGACTCGATAACGAAATCAAACCAAAAGGAGGACACCGAGAGCGAGATATCTTACGACTCCAAATTGAAAACTGAAAAGGACCTTAGCAACTTTAACTTTAGAAAGCATCGAAGAACATCGCGTTTCATGGAGAGGGAAAAGGACGCGCTGATTATGCGAGCGAATAGTTTAAAAAGGGCCATTAGAAGTCTGGTGGAACACACGGAGAAAGCCGTCGACGCTCAGAATCGATTAAAAAACGATGAAACTTCGATTAAAATCACTTTAGATAGCATGGAAAAAGAACATCAAAAAATGGACTCCTTGAAAGTTCTTTCAACAATCGATTCAGCATCTATTTCAGATGTTAGTTCAACCACAAGTAATAGTTCCATTTTGACAACACGATTAGTTAATATATCTCCTATACCAGATGTTAGAAGAGAATCAACATGCGAAGATTGCCCCGATTTTCTTAATGTACCTGCACCACCCGATTTTGCTGATAGTCGAAGACCTAGTCAAATACATTCAATGTGAGTAATTACAATTACAGTAAAATCTCGATAAACTTCAACAATAATTAATATAATCTCAAAAATATCAATTTATTGTAACATCTAATGGAGATAGAAAAAAAATTTGTTAACAAAATCGATTTTAAATCAGATTCGAAACAATTTTTATTTGAAACAATTTTCGATTAAAACGATTTTTTGAATCGATGTACCGGCTCGTACAAAAGTAATTTCATAATTAAATTATTTCTGATCTGTATTTCTGGAAATTATTCATATTACGGACACTCCCTTCCCTATATAAATTCGTTATATCGAAGTTTTACTGTAATTGAATTAAATCAATAAATTTTTACAGATCCGATACCAATAAAACTGATACCGAAAAGATTCTCATCGAAACTTGTAATACATTACAATCAATTCAAAAAGATGAAACAACAGGCAACGAACGAATTATATCGATAACGGTCCACGCGACAGATAATCAAGAATTAATAGAAGAGCCGGATAAACGACGTTATTCGAAAGGGATACGAAAAGAAGAAGTTGAAATAGACGTTGTTATTGAAGAAGAAGAAAAAAATAATGGCGACGAAGATGAAAAAGAATGTAGCAGTATTATTTCAGCGATATCAAACGAAGAAATCAGCATAGTTTCGGAAGTAGCTGGTGATCAAAAATCGTTTTGTCCTCGAAAAAATAGTGATGGTGAAGATGTGAATGGTCATATTGGGCACATTGATTCCCCGGAAACCGATACTTATCCAAATTCGGATGCTTTACAAGGATGCGAATCCTTAATGGATGATATTAGTTCAATGTTGGGAAATGATTTATGCGGATATGACAGCATGGAAAATACATACACCGACGATACCACTTTATTTCATAGCGAATTTAGTGAGAGTAAAATGGGAAAAGAACGAAGGAAGAGTATGAAAAGGGATTCTTTAGAACGAAAAAGACGATGTTCCAGGAGTAACATTGAAAACGATGAGACCACCCAATACGGCTTTGAAAACAGAGTTTTTATGTCAGTTCAAAATGTAGATCAGCCGAAATATTGTAGTTTAGCCCAATTTGTTGAAGGCAACGATATAGCTAGAAGATCCTTCAAAAGAGGCCGACAATCCAAGTTACAAAAAGTTACAACTGAATCGACGTTACATCGACAAAACACATTAACTGAAGAGAGCGAGGGTAGTTTAAACGGGTCGCAAATAAGTTTAAACGAGAAAAAATGCGAGGAAAAAGATGATTTTCATCAATTTCCTCAAGTTTGCGTCATCGTTGAACCACCTTCGCCGGATTTAAACGAAACTATTCGCCAGGAACGAATGGATAAGATTAGCATAGAAATAGAAATAGAAGATACACCTTTCAGGAAAAATGTGCAACTATCAACGAGCGATATGACCAGTAACAATAGTAGTAACTCGAATCTCTTGGGAATTGACAACGAACATTTTTTGAGTTGCTCGCCGGCGGCAACCAGAAGAATTTCCTGTTGTAGTATGTTAAACGCTAATGAAGCTGCCATGGTTGCTGCTGCAGCAGCGGCCTCAGCGAGAGAGAAAAAGGAAGATAAAGAGGGTATTAAGGAAAAAGAAAAGAAGAAATTGCCGATTATTAATCCTTTAGTACGACTTCCAAGTTGGCCAAGTATGTGTCTAAATTAAATTCTTTCTAAAGGGTGATTTGTGGGAATCTATAATACAGTGAATTTCACTTAAGATGCAATATACAGGGTGTCCCGTTAAGCGTACGGAGCGGCTGTATCTCTAGAACGGTAAGGCCTAGAGGTTTGGGAAAAAAATCCTTATAAGCAAAGTGACCAAGAGAAATAGCTGGAAATTATTTTAAAGTTCGTAATTCTACAGCTAAGGGGCGTAACTGCCATTGAGAAACATAAAGCATCGCTTTTGTTTTGCGATATTTCTCATATCTGTCATAATAAGGGAGGGGGAGCCCAATGCGTTTTCATATGTTTACATTTTAATATCTCCTAGACCATTCAACCGATTTGAATATTTTCGGTGTTGTTTGAAAGAGCATTCTATGCTCTTTTTAAAGATATTTTCAGTATGACCGTCTACTTTAAAACAAATGAGCTAGAGGACGTTATCTGCAGCGATTACATATTTTTGTGATTTTTGAAGAAAAGTTAAATGGAACGATACTATTTACTTCACAGACCCTTAGTCACCTTAAAATTTGCTAAATTTTAGTGAAAACCGCATCTCGATATCGCCACCCGTTCTCGAGTTATAGAAGAAAATGTTAAAAATTCAAGTGCCATCAATCGGATCCAGTTACCTCATCAAGAAAAACGAATCACATAACCATGGTAACTGTAAACATGTCATTTACTAACGCAGAAGCGTATGATAGAGCGTATGATGATTTATTTTCAATGTTTCGAATACGATGCAATTGCATGGCAAAAATGTGCAATGCAATTACGACAAAGAAAGACATTTTTCTCTAGAAGTGTTTTTAAGATTGACTTAGCGATTACGGAAAACTGGCAACGTGTAGCCCATTCAGACATCTCTATGAATTCGTAAATCATATTGGTGCGCAATGTGATCCCACATAATCTGGGAACTCCGAAAACAATTGTCCACAAGAGTTCTCAAGAGAATAATATCTCCACCACGTTGTTTTACATCAGGCCTTAACAGATACCGATTATGATAACAGACTGAACTATTACCATTGACTTTTAAATATGATTTGGGCAAATCCAAACCTTTTATCACAAATGCTATGGATGCATGAAGCATCTGTCCACAAGCTGATGTAAACTTGCATAATATGCATTCTTGGTTCGAGCAAAACCCACATTGCTTTCACCCCTTTATCTATTGGGTAGACTAAACGACCTGACTTTTCAAGAAAAACCAATAACCAGGGAAAATATGACAAAACACTAAATACCAGTAGAAACGTGTCCAGGGCCGAGACTTAAGCAGCGCTTTTTTTTCGTCGAAACTAGATTAAATAAATGCATCGAGGTTTATGGAAGGCATTTCGCACATTAGTGAGTTATTTTTGCCAAAAATTTAAGTTATTCTAAGTGTTTTGGTTTATTTTGTTTTATTATCATTGTTGATGTTTCATTGATCCGTTGGCTTTTCAACACGCCTCAAAAGTAGTTTTGAAGCAGTTCTAAGCTTGGATAAAGTGTGAAGGAAGGTTCTAGATAATAAAATTTTTGTTCTCTCTTATTTGTTTCCTAAGGTAACTTGATCCGATTAAGATATACGAATTTTTAACATTTTCTTTTATAATTCGAGAATGGATGGAGATATCGAGATGCGGTTTTCACTAATATTTAGCAAATTTTATGGTGATTAACGGTCTGTGAAGTAAATAGTACCGTTCCATTTAACTTTTTTTCAAAAATCACAAAAATATGTAACCGCTGCAGATAACGCCCTCTAGCTTATTTGTTTTAAACCAAGCGGTCTTACTGAAAATATCTTTTAAAAGAGCATGAAATGCTCTTTCAAACAAGACCAAAAATATTCAAATCGGTTGAATGGTCCAGGAGATATTAAAATGTAAACATTTGAAAACGCATTGGCCTCCCCCTCCCTTATTATGACAGATATGAGAAATATCGCAAAACAAAAGCGATGCGGTATTATCCAAGCTACTAAATGATGTTGTCAACGTTATAGCTCATCGTCTAACTTTCTGAGATAGCGGGAATTTTATGTTTCTCTATGGCAGTTACGCTCCCTAGCGGTCGAATTACGAACTTCAAAATAATTTCCAGCTATTTCTCTTGCCCACTTTGCTTATAAGGATTTTTTTCCCAAACCTCTAGGCCTTACCGTTATTGAGATACAGTCGCTCCGTACGCTTAACGGGTCACCCTGTACAAAAATATATTTCACATAAAATGCAACATCTCAATATAATTTAACATTACAGTAATACCTCGACATAACGGATTAATACGGGGAAGACAGTGTCCGTTATAATCGTTTTAGATGTGCGCCTCTCAAGACGTCTAAACCTGAATGTTTCTAGTTCTAGGTCTAATGTTAGTTCTAGTGACAGTGATAGGTAGCGCTAGTTAGCACTATCATTATAACTAACACAGGACCTAGAACTAAAATCATCCGGGTTTAGAGAGACGTGCGGCTAAATCCGAATGTTTCTAGTTCTAGGTCGAGTGTTAGTTCTAGTTTTGCACTAGCACTATCACTAGAACTAACACAAGACCTAGAACTAGAATCATTCGGGTTTAATCGTCTTGAGAGGCGCACGGCTAAACTCGTGCAAAAAGCAAAACTTTTCCTTTGCAAAACTACCTAATAATACCCTGTACTACATATTAAGCTATGTTACATTTTATGTGGGACCATAGTAATTTCGTAACAATGGTTACTGCATTCAAATATTGCAAGTTATATGAAATTCCCGGTAAATATAAGATTTTAATATAATATCAAAATTTATGATCAATCTACCATTTGATGATGTACTTAAAAAATTTTTTTTGTAATTCGCTACGATAATGGAAGCTATAACAGTACTCAAACGGGTGCTGTAATGAGACTCCTTACAGCATCCGATGCTGTAATGAGATTTTAGTAACATTTTATGGAACCAGTTCAAGTTGGTGACATTGGGTCATTAATTTTTCTAGTTGTCAATGTGACAATTTTTGTCTATGGATGTTTAAACACGTTCTTAGCATCGAATACAAGGTCCACAATGATGAGGACATTGACTCTGAGCAATTTCTCTTATTTTGGGAGGTGTACATCAAACATTTTTTTCAGGTGAATATATTTTGTGTTTTGACAGTTTCTAATTGTCAATTCAAAGTTTCTATTTTCAAGTGTTCCGGTGTTACCAACTGCTACATACCTATTTCCCTACATTGCCAAAATTTACTTTATTTTTGTTAAAAAAAGTATAAAAACGCGAATTACAAAAAATAGCATAAAAAACACGTTTCATAAGACTTAACTTGTTTTTTAATATACTATTACGTCATCAATGGTAGATATTAAATAATTTGAATAATTTGAAAAAAGCGACTTCCCACAAATATTGAACACCCACCACTTCTTTTAGTCTTCCTAACTTTTCTCTTTTTCCTCCTCAGTTTTTATTATCCATAAATAGTTCTCATTTTCCCCGTTTTCCCGTAGATGTGAATAGCGGAGCAGGTTTTATCAGTAAATGTCTTTTGGCCAATGCAGACACACTTTGCGCGGCGGTAAGTCCCCTAATAGATCCCGAGGAGACGCTGATGGAAGGATTTTTTGAACGATGCGTTATGAACAATTATTTCGGGATCGGAATCGACGCGAAAATCTCGCTAGATTTCCATCATAAACGGGAAGAACACCCGGAAAAGTGTCGATCGCGTGCGAAAAATTACATGTGGTACGGCGTTTTGGGCAGTAAACAATGGTTTGTAAAAAGTTATAAGAACCTTGATCAAAGGGTGCAATTAGAATGCGATGGGCAAAGAATTCCTTTACCTAGTTTACAAGGGATTGTGATATTAAATATTCCAAGGTTTTGTATATTGTATGTTTTATAGATTCGATTTAAGTAAAATTTTCTTTTTATTTAGTTTTATGGGCGGTACAAATTTTTGGGGTGGTACCAAAGAGGATGAGATCTTTTTAGCACCTTCGATGGATGATAAAATACTCGAAGTTGTGGCCGTTTTTGGTTCGGTGCAAATGGCAGCTTCTAGATTGATTAATTTGAGTCATCACAGAATCGCGCAGTGTCAAAGTGTACAAATTAATATTTTAGGTACAAAACTTTTTTTTGTTAAAATTTGATTAAATAATGTATTTTTAAAGGTGATGAAGGTGTCCCAGTTCAAGTTGATGGGGAAGCTTGGGTACAAACCCCTGGGAATATTCGAATAATCCATAAAAATCGTATGCAAGTTTTATGTAGAAACAAGGCTTTAGAGACATCATTAAAAATTTGGGAGGAGAAACAAAGAGCGGCGATTGGAACTCCTTGTAAACGGGGATCGTTATCGCACGATAGGGGAAGATCAAGTTTGACCCGACAAAGTATGCCGGCTGCTCCAGAAAAATCATTTTTGGGGGTTAACATCGAGAAGATTCGTCAGCATTCTTTTAGCGGCCACATTCCAGTTCACGAGCGATCCCCCCCAACTGTTAGTTTCGTTGAAAAACCGATACCAAGTAACGAACCTGAAATATTATTCACCGACGAAGAACATTATTTATTAATTAATTTCATCGAGTGTTCAACGACTTTAGTAAAATGGATTAAGTTATTGGCGATTAGTCACAATTTAGAGGTTGATTTGTACACTTTGGCCACAAAAACCGATCAGGCTTTGGAGGATATTCATCCGAATGGAAAACTTCTTGCAGGACCAAGATTGCGAATTGAATTCACAAAATTAGTTGGAATCGTAAGACATCTTTACGAAGAAACATGCGAATTATTACATGTGAGAGGTGAGCGATTGAGGTTGAGAGAAGATTTAGAGAATAAGTTAAGCGCTAGTTTAACTAATATGGAATTGGAATTAAGGAAATGTGTTATGTATGATACTGCATCAGGGAGTTTAGCTTTCTTACAACATATTCCAGAACACCATGTAAGAATCGATTGATAACTTCAACTAAATTAATTTAATTTGTTTTGTTTTTAGCAAAAACGAAGGAGTATTTTTGGGTTGAAATTCAGGAGTAAAAGTGTTTCGGGTCCCCAACAAACTCCAAATAGTAAATCAGCAAGAGACGTGGATTCTTGGGGCACTATGGAGGTTGCAACTTGGTTGGAAACGCTTCAACTTTCGGAATACGTTGATAGTTTTATTAAGAACGATATAAGGGGGCGAGAGCTTTTAACTTTGGCTCGGAGAGATTTAAAGGAAATTGGGGTAACTAAAGTTGGCCACATCAAGAGGATCCTACAGGCAATTAAAGATTTAACTCAAGGAGTTTAAATTAAAATACGATTTGAAGAGTTTTAAAATTTTTGGATTTCTCAGAAACTTTCCCCATCCATTTTTTTTTAACCCCATTTCTCAGCAATAATAATACGATATACATATAACAAGAAGAAGTACAATAGCTTTAAATTTCTTCTATCAAAAAATGAATTAATAAGAAGTGGTTCTTCCATATTTTAATTAATTCGAAACGAAAATCGTTCTCCTGTTAACTGTGATTGATAAAATCGCTTCTTTCCTTTTATTTTGAAAAAAATTATGAAATTATGAAAGAATTAAGTAAGGAAAAATGAAAATATAATTTTTAAAAATCTTCTTAATGGTTAAGAAACAGGGTTTTTAATATCAAATTATTAAAACAAAAACTATATCCTTTCATTTCATCGAAATGATAATTTAAAAATGAATAATAATCTTTCCAAATTAAATATGAATAATGAATAAAAATGAAATCGTACCTAATATTCTAAATTCAAAGCAATTACCTTTCCTAGCAATACTTTGAACAACTTATTTGAATCCAATTACGTCTTCACATCTCTTACCGTTATACAAACATAAAAATATATATATTTACGAATAAGGATCACTAAAGTGTACGTAACTGTTAAGCGTTTTATCTGTGTTAAAATCATAAGAAGTGAACTTCCCTTAAATTATTATAGGATTACTCCTGCGACGATAGCAACAAAGCTTTAGCCTTGTTTTTTCATCTAATTTACAAGTCAATATCTTCGTTGTCTTTAGAGATGGCGAAATGTTAAATATAGCACTATATTATATCACAAAATTTTTTTCCACAAAGACTACAACATGTCCACAAGGATTATCTGTAGCTCCCTGCAGATGTCCATTCCATGGGAGGGTTTTGTCTAGGATTACTCCTAGATATTTGACTTCCTTTGGATTTCTTCACCCAACTTTCGTCTCTTGGTGACGGAGACAACGATTGTCTCTGGCAAATAGTGTCTAAAATAAACTAGAGGACTCTGGATATCCTCGATTACCACACCTAAATCTGCTCCCTTATCTCAGTCCTCTCCTACGTGACTAACGACATGAAAAAGCTGCGCGTTCAAAATTTAAAAGAGTGACAACAGTTAATAGAGTAAAGTTGGTTTAGGAGACCAAATCTCACCAAGAGATATAACACCACAAGATGATGGTGTTTTAGATGAAGAAAAGATCTGGGTTTCTAAAGATCCGGATTTTAAATTAGGTGCAAAAGCAAGGGTAAAAGTTTATTGATGTCGTTGCATGAGTTTTAGGATTTAACAAAGAAAGTTGCGAAAATATTAAACAAAGAGAGTTAAAAAAATAAAATAATACAAGAAATGTTAAAAAAAGAGAAAAATCTGCTGAATAGAATAATAATTACTTGATATTTGATTGATATTCTCGTGATTGAAACTTCTGGTCAAGTTAAAACCAAAAAAATACATAAAATTCTTTCTATTCAGCAAGGTTGTGGATTGAATTTTAAAGCATATACTAAAAAAGTAAAAAAATAATAAAAATAAACGTAATTATTAAAAATGTTCTTTTTTTTATGAATAAGTAAATAATAATAAGAATTTTGCGATAGTATTTTTGAAATAACAAAAAAATTAACCCTAAGAAACATTTTCTTTTGAATTCAATAAAATATCAACAGTTAGATATCAAAATTGAAATTATTAAAAAAAAGGTGAATTGGCAATTTTATCACTATATATTTTTTTAATACTAAATAGTTGAGACGAAAAAGAATAACTATAAATGTTAAATTTCAAGATAAATATCTAGAATTAGATCAAAAAAATCTATAAAAAAAATTAAAAATAAAAAACTTTTTTTATCGTCGTGTTCCGTTAAAAAGAATTTTCCCAAAGAAGTACTCCATATGGCCTCCTAATAGTTAGTAATAATAGTTATAATAGATTAGTTATAACTAACCTAATTCTTCCTTTTTCTTTTTTTAATAAAAAAAAAGAAATAAAAAAAACCTAATAGAAAACTATGATAATCATTGTGTATTGCCTTTTTGTATGTTATAGCATTAGAAAACCTACCAAAAAAAAGTGTTATTAAATTTATTATTGTGCCATTATAATAAAAATTATCGATAGAATTAGATTCCCTTAATATTCTAAACACCTCAAGTACTTAACATTAAATTAATTTAAATTTCAACGTTTCTTATTAGCACATTTAATGTTTAAATAAAAAAAAAATGTTTAAGAAGTCACAATTTTCAATGTTTACGCATTTATTTGAAAATTTATATAAATTTAGTAGTAATAGTTAATGTTTTCAAGAATAACGATAAAAAATTGCACGTAATTTTGCATATCCTAATTAAAATTAAGTTCCGTTTTTAGATATTTATTTGATTTCTCTATTAAGTAGATTTTAATCTTAAATCTCACTCATCATCAAAATAATCCCAAAATTTGTTGTAAGAAAAAAAAACGGTTTCTTTTCGTTCGGATTATTCGATTTCATAAATTATTAATAATTAAAATTTTTAATTCATGAAATCGATTTTATTTTATTTAATATAAAAATTTCAATCATTCCATTATATTTTCGGTGGACCAAATTAACAAAAAAATTTTATCCTACAGAAACTTAAAAAAATAATAAGAGTTTAGTAAAAATAAATGTTAAACATTTTAAGTAGTATAAACAAAGTTATTTTTATTATTATTAATATACTATTTTCTTCTCTCACTTTTATGTATTTTTACCCAAGACTGCTTCGAATTTCTGTGATATAGAATAGCAGTCAACGATACATTTAAAAAAATAATAAGAAAAACTTAATAACATACATTGATTACATGAAATAGCAATATTCACTTCTATTTATGTGGAAAAAAAATTTCCGCAATATTTTTAGTACTTACACCATTTTTTAGTTCCTCAAATTCGAATCATCTCTTTTTAATCTATTTTACTTGTATATTAGAAGAACATATTTCTTAATCTATTTTTTTTTGTAATATTTATTGTAGTTTTAAATCTAATTTATTAAATATTTACCAATTTTTCGAATGTAATTACAAAGAGTGTACACTGTGAAGGATATTAAATATATATTTACCTCAAATCTTATTAAAAAAATCTTTTATTTTTTTTATAAAACAGACTTAATTGAAGATATATTTAAATATTTAAGAATTTAATCAAAGTAAACTGTAGAATTATACGAAATATAACAAATATATAGATTAAATTATCAATTTAATCAATTAAATGAAATATAATCACTGAGATCTATGATCTATGAATAACATCACTCAATAAATAAAATAATAAATTAACCAAACTACAAATAGACAAGATTTTAACCCTTTGTGTCCCGATGGTACTTTAAAGTACCGGTAATTTTAAACACTCATTTTAAACTGTAGTTATCTATTCGGCGCATTTAGAGCTGTCTGTACTTTCTACTATACAAGTGTATACAAGAAATAATCTGTATAAAAAACGTCGCAATCCGCACTGTAGGATTTTTAGGTACACTTTAAACTTATTCATCCAGATGTGAGGTTAGAAGTTTAGTGAAAAGTGGTGCTGTTGAATTTTGTTGTTCAAGAAGGTATTTCTTTGATAAATGGTTATTAGGTGTGATTATTACAGATCATTTTAAAAAGAAAACATTGAGCTTAAATTTAAAATAAGTCTCATTCCTTAATTTCAATAAACATGGTTTCTAAGAATTTTTAAATTAGCATCTTTTTTGACTCTTTTAAATGTAAGTGTTGTTTCAACATTTTTTTTCTTAATATTTTTCCAATCCAACCCAACAATTATTATACATCATTTTAAAGAGAAAGCTTTGAGCTTTAATTTAAAATAAGTTTCATTCCTTAATTTCAATAAATACGGCTTCCAGGAATTTTTAAATTAGCATCTTTTTTGACACTTTTAGGTTATACGAAAATGTAAGTTTTGTTTCAACATTTTTTTTCTCAATATTTTTCCAATCCAACCCAACAATTATTATACATCATTTTAAAGAGAAAGCTTTGAGCTTTAATTTAAAATAAGTTTCATTCCTTAATTTCAATAAATACGGCTTCCAGGAATTTTTAAATTAGCATCTTTTTTGACACTTTTAGGTTATACGAAAATGTAAGTTTTGTTTCAACATTTTTTTTCTCAATATTTTTCCAATCCAACCCAACAATTATTATACATCATTTTAAAGAGAAAGCTTTGAGCTTTAATTTAAAATAAGTTTCATTCCTTAATTTCAATAAATACGGCTTCCAGGAATTTTTAAATTAGCATCTTTTTTGACACTTTTAGGTTATACGAAAATGTAAGTTTTGTTTCAACATTTTTTTTCTCAATATTTTTCCAATCCAACCCAACAATTATTATACATCATTTTAAAGAGAAAGCTTTGAGCTTTAATTTAAAATAAGTTTCATTCCTTAATTTCAATAAATACGGCTTCCAGGAATTTTTAAATTAGCATCTTTTTTGACACTTTTAGGTTATACGAAAATGTAAGTTTTGTTTCAACATTTTTTTTCTCAATATTTTTCCAATCCAACCCAACAATTATTATACATCATTTTAAAGAGAAAGCTTTGAGCTTTAATTTAAAATAAGTTTCATTCCTTAATTTCAATAAATACGGCTTCCAGGAATTTTTAAATTAGCATCTTTTTTGACACTTTTAGGTTATACGAAAATGTAAGTTTTGTTTCAACATTTTTTTTCTCAATATTTTTCCAATCCAACCCAACAATTATTATACATCATTTTAAAGAGAAAGCTTTGAGCTTTAATTTAGAGTAAGTCTCATTCCTTAATTTCAATAAATACGGCTTCCAGGAATTTTTAAATTAGCATCTTTTTTGACACTTTTAGGTTATACGAAAATGTTAGTTTTAACTCAATACTCTTTTTCTCAATATTTTTTTAATTCAACCCATCGATTGTTATACATCGATTTAAACAGAAAGCTTCAAGCTTCAATTTAAAGTAAGTTTTATTTCTTAATTTCAATAAACACGGTTTCCAGGAATTTTTGAATTAGCATCTTTTTTGACACTTAGACTATGCGAAAATAAAAAAGGCCAAAAGGCCTTTACTGAGTGTATTTTGATAGCGTTTTAATTCTGTCTGATTCTGTCACAAAGTTGCAAAATGTTTGACTTCTTGGAACACAAAGGGTTAATGTAAATATTTTAAACGGTTAATCCTTTAAAACTATACCTACAATAAAAGATACAAGTAAATATAAATAAGTTACTACATTATTAATTCATGATTAATTCATTTATTATTACGTGCCCCATTCCTTGGTAAGCACAAAATTTTCTTTTAATTTTATATCCATCATAATAAATAAATAAAAAATCCTTCAGATTAAATATATTAAAATCCATCTATCGATTTATAGCGAAACCTAATGACAATCTGTCAAAAACATAACCTCAAAAAAAAATTACAGTACCCTTCATTTTGTGGTAAAAACTTCAACATCGTTACTCGACAAAATATTTTCTTTCAACGCGACTCATCGTTCAGAAAAAATCTCAATCACATTATTGTTAAAAGAATTGAGAGATATTTCCTTAAAAATGGGTGTAGAAAGTACGGATGTTGAAATGAAAAATGCGGATAGCCCTGCAGCTCCGAATAGTGTAGAAGCAAGCGGCGATGGAAAACGTGATACGGACTTGCAAAGTATTCAAGAAATACGCGAACATTTACGTCAAATTGAAAAGGCGGTTAGTAGTAAAGAAAATCGTTTCGTTTCGCGCGTTTTAAGATGTTTGCCGAATACGCGTCGTAAATTAAATGGGATTGTCTTAAAAGGTCTCATCAACCAAATCTATCCGGTTGCCGAAAGAGATTCTTTGTTGTCTTTTGTTGTTGAAGAGGCGGTTGGGGAAGTTGAACAACCTGGTACATCGAGAGTTCGTTCGGCTATTAAAACACCGGTTCCTGAAGTGGATGCTTATGTTCACTTATTGATTTTGGTAAGATTAATTGATGTTAATAAATTGGAGGATGCTTCAAGATGTTGTCAAGCTTTAATAACTAAAATTACCTCGCAAAATCGTCGTACTTTGGATTTAATTGCTGCAAAATGTTACTTTTATCATTCAAGAGTAGCCGAATTAACGAATAATTTAGATGGAATCCGAGCGTTTTTACATGCACGGTTAAGAACCGCTACATTAAGAAACGATTTTGAAGGACAAGCTGTTTTGATAAACTGTTTATTAAGAAATTACCTTCATTATTCTTTATACGACCAATCAGATAAGTTGGTTAGTAAATGTGTTTTTCCAGAAACTGCAAGTAATAATGAATGGGCGAGATTTCTTTATTATTTGGGTCGTATTAAAGCGGCTCGATTGGAATACAGTATTGCTCATAAACATTTAGTACAAGCAATGAGAAAAGCACCACAAAATGCAGCAGTTGGTTTTCGTCAGACCGTTCAAAAATTCTTGGTTGTTGTTGAACTCCTTCTTGGAGATATCCCCGAGCGTCAAATATTCCGCCAAGCAAGTATGCGCCATTCTTTGGCACCATATTTCCAATTAACGCAAGCAGTTCGCATGGGAAACCTCCAAAGATTTGGTGAAGTACTCGAAAATTTTGGCCCCCAATTTCGTCAAGATCACACCTTCACTCTAATTCTTCGTCTTAGACACAATGTTATTAAAACAGCAATTAGGGCGATTGGTTTGTCTTATTCGAGAATTTCCCCTCAAGATATCGCCAAGAAATTAGGGTTGGATAGTGCTGAAGATGCTGAATTTATTGTAGCTAAAGCAATTCGCGATGGTGTTATTGAAGCCACATTAGATCCTGAAGGGGGGTATATGAGGAGTAAAGAGAGTACTGATATTTATTGTACTAAAGAACCGCATTCGGCTTTCCATCAAAGAATTTCTTTTTGCCTTGATTTGCATAATCAAAGTGTTAAGGCGATGAGATATCCTCCAAAAGCTTATGGAAAAGAGTTGGAGTCTGCCGAGGAGAGACGTGAAAGAGAACAACAAGATTTGGAGCTGGCTAAAGAGATGGCTGAGGAAGACGATGATGGATTCCCTTAAAATATATTTTTTATTGATACATAAAGCAAATTTGAGTGTTTTACTGATTTTTGAAGGTTAATTTTTTTTCATTGTAATCATTTGTATTTATTAAAATTAGTGAAAAAATTATGAATTTGTTTATTTTAACCTCTAAGAAATAAAACGAATTAAGATAAATCAAATAAACGATAAAATTTTAAAACATAACCTAAAATAAAATATGACGTTTAAGCTAAACGTCATATTAATATTTTCTAACCTAAAATAAAAATTTTTTAATAAAAACATTTTTTGTTAGAAAATTGCAGCATTTATTTAGTTCAATTTTAAGTTAACTTTCAGTCATTATACTGATTGTATTATAAATATATCATTCATATTTAATATCCATCAACTAAGAACTAATTTTATTACTATATACAATAGTTATCAAAAAAAGTGAACAAAATTAATTCAAATTACTAATTGTAATTAATTCTTTTTCTCAACGAATCCAAAGAGTTAACACGAGTTTGTATAAAAAATTTGAAATCTTCACTGGGCGTAATGATATAATTTTTACAATTACTTTTATTTGGTGAAATGTGCCCAAAAAAATTCTTGACAAGACACTCTTCATCGATGCGGTGTAAATTATTAATTTAGCGATAAGAAGAAATAATGAATAAATATAACAACAACGCCTCTAGATGTTTCTTTTTCTCTTCAATGATACACAACACTAATAATGAATTAATATTAAGACAATTTAATAAAAAAATGTAAAAGGCGTTGAAGTACTATAATAAATAAGAATTACTTTACGTAGTAGTGTTATCACAGTTCGTTTTTATAGATATCTAGCATTTAAAAAATATTTATTTCTTTTTGTTATTAACACATCATGACTTTTTTGATCTTTAAAATTAACTAAAATAATGTTAATAAGAAAAATTAATAACTATTCTTTATTATTGTTTCATAAAACGGTGCTAATTTCTATTTTAAACACTAGATACCTAAACTGTAGTTTAAATGTAAAATGAAATGGTGTAAAATAGGATTTTTCGCGTATGTTTGGTTAAGAACCAAAAAGAATTACACGAAGTTGAAATTCACAACAAATCACTCTAACAATCCCATAAAAAAATTGTTCAATTTTTTAAAAGTTAGTTATAACGAAATCCATCAAAAAATACGTTTTGTTATTACTAATTAATGTATCCTTTATACAAATCTTACAGAATTGATACCTAACATATATATTTTTAAATTTTATTATACACAAACGCACAAATAAAAAGAAATATAATTAGTTCTTTTATAATATAGGTATCTTCTTATTTTTCAAATTCCATTCTTAAGATAACCACAAAAAAGTAAAAAAATCTCTTCTTTAACAGTTTTTACACGCACATCGACCAACGATAAGTATTTAGTAAAACCATTTTTTTTAACATTTCCTCATTTTTTTCCTTAAACATTTTCCAACATTCACTATAAACTAATTAATTAATTAATCAATTAAAAAAAACTCTCCTTTTATCATTTATCCCCATCCGATGACATCTGGGTGTATTCTAAAGCATAAGGTTTTTGGGTGATATCATCTATCGTTTGCGATGTACATTCAGTTCCGTTATGACCTAAAGCTCCGCAGTTATAACAATTCGTCGTCGGAAGATTCCTATGTTGCGGTTGCTGCTGCTGTGCCGGTTGCTGCATACTGGAAATACGAAACGGAAATTGTAAATACGGCGAAGCCGTGGTGTAATGTTGCTGTTGATCATTAGGGGTTGTAAATGGTGTATCACCGGGTGTATACGGTGGATGTCTTGGATAGGAAATAAAACACCTGTTTGGCATCGTTATTGAAATTGGAGGAGGCGGAGCTGGAAAATTCATATAAGGCACATTGCTCATCGTCGGAGGTGGTGGTGGGGTGGATTCGGGTGGAGGAGGTGGACCTGCCGTCATAAACGGAGGAACTCCATTTAAACGCGGCTTCTGTTGATCGGGAACTACAACACCTCGTCCAGGACCGTGTTGTGAAACGATCGCCGTCGTGGGCGTCTGCGGTGGTGATTGATTCAAACTTGAATTGCTCGATGAGGTGGAACGATGCAATGAATTTTCACCTTCAAGTTTTAACGCTTGCATTTGATGACAAAAATAATTTGGCTCACGTATGTAAGAGATTAAACCGTTTGGAGGTTTCATCCATTTTTGATCGGAACGGAGTTTGTCTTCTTGCATATGATTAGGCTATAAAAAAAATTAAGTTGTAATATATTAAAATAGTTTCATTCCTTTAATATACCGGGAATTTCATATAACTCGCAATATACGAATGCAGTAACCAAAGTTACGAAACTACTGTGTACTTGCACTGTCCCGCATAAAATGCAACTTAGCTTATAATGCCCGGTTCACATTGTTCCAGTAGCATTCCAGTCCAGCGCTGGAAACCTACGCTGAAATGCTACTAGAGTAATGTGAACCGGCACTGGAATGTACCCATTAGCAGTGTCGTTAAATAGCCGGGTATTTACTTTCAAGGGTAAATTTCCTGGATATACAGCGTGTCCCGTATCTTCCGCATCAGAGCATTATACGGTTGTAGGATACATTATTCTGAAGCGATCTTTCTAATAAAATTTTTTCGAAATGTTTATAATAACCGCACGGGAACTGTTTAAAGGAACTGTTTTTCGTCGTTTTTCGCAAATCAGACTCAGGTAATCGGTGCCACCCTCGGCCGGTTCGCTACGCCGATGATAACTCGTTTCCCACGTGTACTCACCAATAGATTCGTCATGGAAAGAGAAATAAACTTTTTCGATGAATCAAAGTCGTCCGTTATTGGTCGTCGTTAAACAGTTCCCGTGCGGTTATTATAAACATTTCGAAAAAATGTTATTAGAAAGATCGCTTCAGAATAATGTATTCTACAACCGTATAATGCTCTGATGCGGAAGATAGGGGACACGCTGTATACCCAAGGGTATTTACCCAAGATGGGTATTTAGAGGTATTTATAAAATTTAATTTAAATTGAGTTGATGGCAGTTTTGCAAGCACTTCAAGAATGCAGAGTCGATTATCGATATACCAAACTTATTTATAACATCCCCAAGAATGCTACAATGACGGTACAATTGCATGAAAGTACTGAAGAGGGTAAAAGTAGTAAAGTACTGATTATGAGTAAAATAAGGCGATACACTGTTGAACCCAAATTGTTCATCACAGTCCTCAGAGTGCATTTAGACAACTAGATTGGACCCAAAAAGGCCTAAACATTGATTGCAAATGCTTAAGTAATTTGCGCTATGCGGACGATATAGTTCTTATATCGGATAGCCTTGGAGAGATTAAACTAATGCTGAACGACTTAAAGGAGTTGTGTGCAAGAGTCGGTCTAAATATCTACGAGGAGAAATCAAAATTTATGATAAATCTTGTTCCCAGCTATAACATCGAAATTGGGGATAATGAGATTGAGAAGGTTGACAGCTATGTATATCTTGGCTATGAGGTTCGTGTATTGAGAGGTAATCAAACAAGCGAACTAAACAGAAGGATCACACTCGTGAGGCCAACCCAAAAGGCCAAGAAAGGCTTTCAATCAATGAGTGTTTCCGGTTATAACATAAGACTCCGAAACTTTAACATTAATTGTAGCCACTGCCAAGAGGGTCCAAGTAATGCAAAGATAGATGGAGAAGTCGATCCTGGGTCTAACTCTGAGGTACTACATACGAAATGAAGACCTATGAAGAAGAATAGGCGTAAATGAACTGGTGGTCAACATTGTGGCAAAGCTTAAGTGGAACTTGGCGGGTCATGTCGTGCGAATGAAGAATGAGCAGTGGACAAAACGGTTACTTGAGTGGACACCGCGAGCGAACAGACGAAGTAGACGTGAAAAGTATGACCAACAATTGGATTCAGACAGCACAGAATAGAATCGAACGGGACAGAATAGGGGAGGTCTATGTCCAACAATGGACGCAGAGGACTGCTTGATGATAATAATCATAATAACTTGATCTAATCTAAATTACGACAGATTCGTTTAATGATAATACGTCTTTGATTATTGACAATTCCTCGTTTTCAACGTTCTTATCATCTTCCTCTTCATTTTTTTGGAATCTGATATACTTTGACTGGTATCACTTTTGTACCCACTGTTTGGGTATTTACCCTAGGCCGTGGTAAATACCAGGATAAATACCCATTTTAGAAATACCTACCCGTCGGGTATTTACCCAACGCCTATCACTGCCCATTAGAGTAAGCAATCCACTCCAGTGGCTGGATCGACAGTATACTTTTTCATTCCAGCGCCACTGGAATAGTGTAGACCGTCAATCCAGCGCAAATTCAAATTCTTAACGAATCGATTAAGAATCCAGTGGACTGGAGTGACCAGCTGGATTACTAGACTGAAATAATGCGAACGATATGATCTAGTCCAGCACTGGACGTGATTGACTCGCTGGACTATTGGACTGGAATAATGTAACCGGGCATTATGGTACAAGTATTGGGTAGTTGTGCAAAGGAAAACTTTTGATTGGAAAAAGATGAGTCCTTATGACAACCTTGAGTTTTCGGCCGTATTAAGAGACGCATGGCTAAACCGGAATGTTTCTAGGTCTAGTGTTAGTTCTACTTTTCGTTTAATAAAAATATACCACAATCTAACGCTGAATAACAATTGTCAATAGTCACTAGAACTAATATTTGATCTAAAAGTAGAAACATTCAGGTTTAGCCATCTTAAGAGATGCACAGCTAAACGGAATGTTTCTAGTTCTAGGTCAAGTGTTAATTTTAATGCTAGTATTAGTCTAGTTTTACTTCTTATTCATCACAGCGCTATAACAGACACTGCCTTTCCTGTATTAATCAGTTGTATTGAGGTTTTACTGTAATAACAGGTGGGGCAAAAGTAATGTCATAATGTGAATGTATCATAATTATTGCAAATGGAGTTAAATATCATTGTGTTTTGACATTTATGTTGTAGACAGATAGAGAATTAGTTGACAATAAGCAATGGAGCGATACACGCTCGAAGAACGCGGAAATATTGTTACTGCTTATTTGACGAATTTTCAGTCTGTTGTTTTAACGCAGCGGGAATTTCGTCGTCATTTTCCTCGTCGTCCTACACCTTGTGCGCGAACAATTAAGCGTTTGGCTGAGCGTCTCGTGCAAACTGGGTCCACTAGAGTTGCTGCAAGAAGTGGCCGGCCCCGTAATGCTCGTTCGGTTGAGAATATCGCTGCGTTGGCCGAGGACGTCCGAGAGAGTCCACAAACATCGACGAGACAACGATGCATACAATTCGGTATTAGCAGACGTTCGTTGCGTCGAATTTTGGTGAAAGACCTGAAGTTGTTTCCGTATAAAGTCCAAACCGTTCACCAATTGCTGCCTGCTGACCGTCAAGTGAGGTTAACTTACTCCCATGCTCTCTTAAACCTGGTGCAAGAAGACGATGATTTCGTATCCATAATCATAATGAGCGACGAAGCCCATTTCCACTTAAGCGGTTATGTGAACAAACAAAATATGCGTTTCTGGGGTACGGAGAATCCACATGAAATGCATGAAGAGCCATTGCATCCCCTCAAAGTGACTGTTTGGTGCGGCATATGCAGTGAAAAAGTGATTGGCCCTTATTTTTTTGAGGACGGCGACGGCACCACCGTAACCGTAACTGGTGAGCGTTACACAGACATGTTAAACAATTTTTTTTTGTCGCAAATCGCTGAATTGGGTCTCGAGCATTGTTGGTTCCAACAGGATGGAGCAACCGCTCACACTGCTCGGGCAACGATGGAGATTTTGAAACGCCAATTTCCAGGCCGTTTTGGCGATTTGAATTGGCCGGCCAGATCGCCAGATCTGACGGCGCCAGACTTCTTTCTTTGGGGCTTTTTGAAATCTCGCGTTTACCGCAATAAACCACAAACCCTGCAACTCTTAAAAGCTAACATTAAAGAAGAAATCGCCAATTTGGANTTTTTACATTTGTAATTAATGCTACTTTAGTTCATTATTGTTAAAAAAATGATTAAATGGATTTCGTTTGAAATGGTAAATTGTGGTTGCAGCGCTAACTATCGGCAGGGTTGGATATAAAACGTACATAGAAATTGAAAACCGTTCCAACAGCGTTGACGAAATGTACGCGTACACGAACGTGTCCACGGACGAACATGCGCAGAAAAAAATCCTGTACTAGTCGTGTACGCGTACACGACGAGTCAAATTTGTGCGGTTGGAACGAACCTATTATGACATTATTTTTGCCCCACCTTGTATCAAATTATATTGACATATTTACATTTTATGTGGGACAAAGTAAATAAGTTTCTATGGAAATATATTTTAGTATATTGCATATTAGGTGAAATTCACTGTAAATAGATTCATAATTAGAGATGGCAAGGACCAAATGTTTCTAGTTCTACCGAATCAACCATAATCAGTATCAAGATGGATTTTCGTGCCATCTCTATTTATAACCTTTGATTTCGACCATGTCCACCAAATTGTTTTTTCATAGATTTTTACAAGACAATAGATTTTACCTCATCTTCTTTAATTAAATATTTTGGTATAAGACTAGACGTAGATATGGTATCGACATTCATTGGGGAAGGATTCGATTGCATCTCAAGATTGTGTGTCAGGGGAATACCTCCGACGGGTCGTAACGTATAGTTTCGATGGGGCGAGTTTGCCCTACTAGGTGGTGGCGATCCTGGTTGACTGACTAGCGGAGATAATGATGGTGCTGGAAACGGTGGTACCTAAATATTGCAACATAAACGAATTAAAACATAAAATTTTAATGATATCAATATGGTTACCTCAGATGGAACACAAATATTTCCGCCCAATGTTGGTCTTTGCCATATTAGATCCATAGGTGGATGTACTGTGTGTATTGGAAGACCTGGTGGGGGGTGTTGGGGACCTTCACCTGATCCAATTACCATCGTTTGATTACTTGGTATTACATGTATTTCAGAATGTGACTAAAAAATGTATGAAAAAAATTATTTATATAACCTCAATTTATTTTAATTTTTTCTGTTAATAATATAATTACAACTCACAACTCCAAAGTGTTTAAACTTACTGATATAACAGGCGGTGGTTGTTGGTAAGGAAAGCCTGGTGGTATACAAAAATTACTAATTTTAGGAGTAGCTTCGTTTCTGTGTTCCTTTTGTTCTAAAAGTCGCTCAATTAGTCGTCCCAGAAAGTATTTTTGATCGAAAGTGAAAGCTGGATGATGCACTCCCATTGTTAATAATAATAAAAATTCGTTTTGTAAAGATTCATCCTTACAATTACCCTTCACTATAAAATCCTCAAACACTTCTGTCCTAAATAATGATTTAAATAGCCAATCCGCACCCACACAATTCCTTGACGATAACAAGGAAAGATGAAGCACAGCACGATTCCTTGTAACCTCATCTAAGAGGCCGGTTGATAAATTTAATAAATTGTCTTTAGCTAACTTATCGACATCGTTGGCGATTAGAGTGACCCCTCGTAATTCTTGGTAAGTGTGCTTACCAATTTCTTCTAAGCAACTGCCAATAAAACGTAATTCATATGGCATACAAATGTTTAACAAATCGTGCATTACGTCGATCCGTTTATAACAATCTAAGTTCTTAAACCATGACAAAATGTCCTCCTTACACACCATTTCCAGAAAACACCATTGATATTTTTCTTAAATAGATTTCTAAAAAAAATTAAAAAGTAATATTATCTTAATTGTAATACGAGAAAACATAACCTATAAACTTCTACCCACATTAAGCGTATCGGAAACCATAACAATACGGTCCGATCTCAAGAGGTTTGTGTCCCTTGTTTTAAAATATACCATCAACAAGTAAAATTACGATGGTACGATAAAACACTGACAAGATAAAGAAATTTGACCATTGACAAAGTCAGGAAAAAGTAACTGCACTGGAGAATTGACAATCATCTGTCAAAACCATTATACGTACACGTAAAAAATATAGTTATATTTCTAATTGTATTTATGAAACACTTCAGGACACACTATTTTTTTTTCAACCCGTTGATATCTTATCGAAGAACGCACAGCCGCAATATTTTTAGAAACTTTTTTTTATCTCCCAAAAGTCGACGGTACTCGAGGATGGTAAAATATTACAGTTTTCTGTGACGCGAAATTATCATCTTTTTAACCTACTTCTTTTAAACATTTTTGTAATAATATTCTAAATTATTTTTTAATGATTATTGTATTAAATAAATTAAATAAAGCCCTTAAATATCCCTAAAAATTTTCTTAAATGTTAATGACGTTACCTTGAACAATATTATTTTATTATACAAATTTTAATTCAAATATTATCTAATTCAACATATTTGTATTAATATTTGTATTACAGGAATTGATATTTCCCGCCATTAAATTACTAATTATCAATCAATAGATGGTGCCATCATAAACGTCACAAACAAATCCATTTTATGCCTATTTTCTAACCTCAAAATATCTCTAAAAACTTGTCAAGTAATTTAGTGCTTTATAATAATAAACAGGCTTAAACGATGGCTGCACCGAGTTCTAATACCGATTTAACCGAAGAGGATGCCGCTGATTTACAATTTCCTAAAGGTAAATAAATTTAAAAATGTTAATATAAATACTGGAAATGGAAATGATTTCCAGACGATGGTTTAGTAACTACAAATAAAATAACGGCCGATTGTATAAACTGTTACCAAAGTTTAAATGACCGGTTCATTTTATGTGCGAAATGTGATTTGTGCATATGCTGTTCATGTTTTGCATCTGGCGTCGAATTCGATAGCCATAAAAACGATCATCCCTATCGAGTTATGCGATACGATTTTCCGCTGTACGAACACTCTGATTGGACAGCCCAGGAGGAGTTGCTTTTATTAGACGGTTTATTATCCTTGGGAAATTACAAGAATATATCAAAAAAATTAACAAATCGTACTCCAGATGATATAAAAAGCCATTACGAATATTTTTATTTATTAAAAAAAGGTCATTCTTCTTTACCCGAAATTTCCTCGCATGAAAATTCAGAATTTATTAATCCCGCCGTTCCATTTCGTTTTCGTGTCGTGGATATCGAAGAACCCCCAAGATACGCAGCCACTTCGGCTTCGTATCATTCTGTTGCCGGTTATAATGCAGCAAGATCTGATTTCGAATTAGATTATGATATGAATGCGGAAGATTTGATCGCAAATTTAGATTTTGTCGATTCTGATGATCCAAATTATCAGATTTTAACCGATTTACAATGCGCCTTGATACAAATTTATAATTGGCGGTTACGCGAACGTCTCCGGAGACGCAAAATTATTCGCAATCACGGATTAATTCTATTAAGAAAAATTACCGCTTGGTTACACCGTTATGATTCAACGATTACTCAACCCGTGTATAATCGTTTAACAAAGTTTATGCAATGCCATAATGGACAAGATTTTGAGTATCTTATGGAAGGATTACACCGAGCTGGGGAACTCAAAATACATATAGCAAGGTAAAAATTTAATTTTATTAAAAAAATTTTTAATCGAACCGAATTTTTAGGTTATGTGATTTTCATAAACGCGGAATAAAATCGTTAAAGGAAGCTCGACTTTACTTAAATTTGAAACAACAACGGGAAGAAAATATGCGCGATTTAAAGACGTTTTATGCGAATCCAATTTTTAATTTTAAATTTCGTGGTTTATCTTCCGACGGGCATCATCATCACGGAGTGTCGCAACCGGCGAAAAAACGGGGTACTTTTACCCCGCTTGATGTGATTGGTATGCCAGGTTTGGAGAAATTATTACCGAAAGAACGGGATTTGTGTAGAAACTGTCGATTGGCGCCGCTGAGCTATTTGGAGTTAAAAGCTACGTTGATTGGGGAAAATAATAAATTGGGGTATTTAAAATTGTTGACTGCAAGGAGATTGTTAAAAATTGATGTTAACAAAACGAGGAGATTGTATGATTTTTTAGTTGACGAAGGATATATTACAAAAGGATAAAAAAAGTATTGTAATATAACTTAAATAAGTTTTTACTGAACTTGAATATAAAGAATATATATGTATATTATGAAATTCAAACTATTTTTATTTATCCCACGTCTCTCAAGACGGCTAAATCCGAATGATTCTAGGTCTTGTGTTAGTTTTAGTGATAGTGCTAGTTCAAAACTAGAACTAACACTACTATCCATGCAAAAAGTCAAGGCCCCTCACTTTAGAGATCGATATCTTCGTAACCGCTCGATGGAAAAAATTGCGGTCAAGTTTATTGTAATCAGTGAACATTTCTGCGTATCACATGTTAATTTGGAAATTTTCGGGTCCGCGATTTTTCTTTTATCACGAGTTAAGCGAAAAAAGTACCCGATTTTTGAAAGTGCCAGCTACCTTGTCTATTTTGCGATTTTTTTTCTCCAAAACTATTTGACGAAAAAAATTCAAATTTGAATTGGTGGTAAACCGATGTGTTCTTAATGTGGGGCATATTTTATTTTTTCGATATTCCATATAGTTTCGCGGAAAATCGTAGATTAGTAGGATGCGGTTATTTCGAAAACCACCTGGCGGATTTCAACGCTGTTTTTACCAAAATATGTTAAATAATGTCGGTTGTCGGATTCCATTATGAGATTTTCAAAATGAGGACTCCCTAATATTTTAAGAGCGATTTAATGGAATTACAAATTAAAGAGAAACAGAAATAAGCTATGCGGGGAGAGAAGGGTTCCGTCCAATCGGAACAGATGGTTTGTCCCAGACAGTACGTCGCGCTTTTATCTTACCTACATAAAGAAATAAGGCGCGACGTCCTGTCTGGGACGCACCATCTGTTCCGATTGGACGGAAACCCCGTCACCCCGCAGAGCTTATGTCTGTTTCTCTTTAATTTATCATTCCATTAAATCGCTTTTAAAAAATTAGGGAACTCTAATTTTGAAAAACTGACAAGGGAATCCAATAACCGACATTATTTGACATATTTTGGTCAAATCAGCGAGGAAATCCACCCAGCCGTTTTCGACATAACAGCGTCTTACTAAACCGCGATTTTCCGCGAAAATGTATGGAATATCGAAAAAATAAAATATGCCACTCATTAAGAACACACCAGGCTACCACCTGTTCAAAATTAAAATTTTTTCGTACGATAGTTTTCGAGAAAAAAAATTGCAAAGTTAACAAAGTTGCCGGTACCGTAAAAAATCGTGTACTTTTTGCATTTAATTCGCGATAAAAGGAAAATCGTAGATCCGAAAATTTTCAAATTAACATATGTTACGTAGAAATGTTCAGTGATTACAACAAACTTTGTCGCAATTTTTTTTATCGAGCGGTTGCGAAGATATCGATCTATAAAGTGAGGGGCCTTGACTTTTTGCACGGATAGTAGACCTAATCCTAACTAGCGCTACCTAGCATTATCACTAGAACTAACTAGTTAGTAACTTTCTAGGTCTAGTTTTGCAGCACATATGCAGCACAGTGATATCTAATGCTAACTAGCGCTACCTAGCACTGTCACTAAAACTAACATTTGACTTAGAACTAGAAACATTCGAGTTTAGCCACACGTCTCTCAAGACGGCTAAACCAGAATGATTCTAGGTCTTGTTTTACTTCTAGTGATAATGCTAATGTAAAACTAGAACTAACACTAGACGTAGAACTAGAAATATTCGGGTCTGAAGACGCACGGATAAACCCGAATCTTTTTAGTTCTAGGTCTTGTGTTAGTTCTAGTTTTAATTCAATAAGAATATGCAACACAGTGATACCTAATGCTAACTAGCGCTACCTAACATTGTCACTAGAACTAACATTTGACTTAGAACTAGAAGCATTCGAGTTTAGCCGCACGTCTCTCAAAACGGCCAAACCCGAATGATTCTGTTATAGTTCTTGTCTTAGTGCTAGTGCAAAACTAGAACTAACAAATATAGAGGGTGATTTATTAGCTCACCATCAAACTTTGACATATTATAGCTAATCCAATTACCAAAAAAAAATGTTAATGAACATATGTCCTATTTCAATTATTTACGAAATTATAACACTTTAAAGTTTTAATTTTTACATCATAATTAACTTCAATATTTTTTTTAAAACACATAAATATTACAAATATTGTTCAAAATAGACTCCTTCTGCTAGAATACATGCTTCACAACGACGAATTAAAGAGTTCTTCAGCCCATCTAAAATGTCTGGTTGATTTCTTATTTCAGTAGCAGCCATTTGTATTCTGTTTAATAACTGTTCTCGTGTGTTAATTTCCACTTGATACACAATTTGTTTCATTTAACCCCATAAGTAGAAATCCAATGGATTAAGGTTGCGGGATCTAGGTGGCCAAGCAAATGGACCATTATTACCAATCCTCTTGTTTGAAAAGTATTGGTTTAACCACTCTTCCGCGATGAGGTGGGGCACCATCGTGCTGGTACCACATATTTTGAATTACATTAAGAGGTATATCTTCAAGGAAATCAAACCATAGCTTTGTTCGTTGGGACTGCACTACTTGCACTAAGCAGGTTCGTTGGGGATAGTGCAGTTTAGTGCAGTTGCACTCATACTGTTCGTTGGGCCATGTGCAGTGCAATTTAGTGCAGCCAGTGCAAGTTAGTGCAGATTTTGTTGCACCTGCTTTCGATTAAGTTCTATAAGTGCAGTGTAACTAAAATGGCGGAATATTTGAAAGCGTGTTTTGTAATAATTAATATTAATACTAAATATTAAGAAATAAAACCTTATAATAATTAATATTTGTTGTATTAGAGAACACAGTATATTCAATCCCAGTAGAGGCAGTAGAAAACTACCCCTACTTTTTCGAAATAATTTAAAAATAATAATAATAATTGATGAATCGCTACTACAAAAACATTCTGCAATGATTTCATTTTCCACGAGTATTTCGCTGACAATCTCCTGTTCGTCCATTTCAAATATTATACACTTTTTTTTATAAAAATCTGTTCGTTGCGACCACGGTTTATATACTTTTCTGACCTGCACCAACCTGCACTAAGTTGACATGACATTGCACTGACTTACACTTCGTTGCACTATGACGTCATACGAGTGCCATGTCGTGCAGAGTAGTGCAGTCCCAACGAACAAAGCTCATGATTCATCTGTCCAGAGAACATTTGAAATGAAGTCATTATTTTGGGCAAGTTGCTGCAATAACCATTCACAAAATCCTAATCGTTTCTGATTATCTCTTAGCTGTAGAGCTTGAACATTCTGTTTGCGATACGGATGAAGGACTTCGCGGTTCAATACAAGCCATGCAAAATTTTGACTTACATGTATGTTGATGAAAGGATTATCAATGACATACGCACTGTATGCGGTCGAATAGCTTTTGCTGGAGCAGGATTACCTGTTTCTCAAAGTCTTCTGAAAGAATTGCTAAAAACTGAATAATATGGCAAATGACGCTGTGGAAATCTTTCTTGATATTCTCGTACTGATTGTCGAGCATTTCCATTGCAAAAACCATACACGAAAATTATATCAGCATACTCTTCAGTGCTATAAGCGTATATTTTGAGTTTCTTCATGTATGTAATAATTAAATCTAACAGCAACACCTTGTTTTTGTTGAATGTTTGATTTTACCTTTGATTATATATAATATGGATTGAGCCAACGAGAGAGATAGCTTGCGCAAGGTGATCGAACCGAGATAGACATAGAAGCGTACTGCCATATAATGGGTGTACTGATAGAAGTGAGATAGATATAGAAGCGTACTGACATATAATATATCTATCTTTGTTACACTTTCACATTATCGCTTTCCATCTGCGTCTATTCACCTTGAGCAACATTTTTGTTAGTAGTTATATTCAGTTAGCTCAATCCATATTATATATAATCAAAGGATTTTACTGACTATGTATAAATTCGATGCAGAAAACTGTAATTTTTTTTTTTTGTAATTGGATTAGCTATCATATGTCAAAGTTTGATGGTGAGCTAATAAATCACCCTCCCGTATTATGAAATTCAAACTTTTTTTTATTTATTACAATTTAAACCCAAGATACCTAATTTATTAGATTTTAATCTAAATAAAATAATTTTTCTGCAGAATTTGAAAACGCTGAAACTTTATTAATCTCCGAAGTCCACATGTTATTAGAGCACCGAAAGGCTCAAAACGAATCCGCGGAGGATGAACAAGAATTCTCAGACGTTTTTATGAAAACCTTAACGTACACCGACCGATTTCGAAAGTTTAAAAATAAAGAAGTTATTTCTGCCGTTCGAAAGTAAGTTTTCTAACTTTAAACTTATAATATTTTAATGAATTTCCTTTATTATTTCGTTTTAGTTTATTGAGTCAAAAGAAATTACATAAATTCGAATTGGCGGCTATAGCAAATTTGTGCCCAGAAACGGCGGAAGAAGCAAAATCGCTTATCCCATCGCTTGAGGGACGCTTTGAGGACGAAGATCTTCAGGCCCTTTTGGAGGATATCCAAACAAAACGAAGCATACAGTATTAAATTTAGGTTAAGATTTTGGTTTGGATTTAATAAACAAGTTAAGAAATTATTATTTATTTCTAATTAACATAACCTCAAAATAAATTAAATGAATAAATATTTCAATTAAATTGGAAAATTAAATTAATAGTGTTGTTTCAGAATCTTTTTTACATTTCTTTTTGGCAATAAACATATACTTGCACATATAAAAAACGGGTTCTTTTGAATTCCAATCTCTGCAACTTTTAATTGAAGAAAAAGGATTTTCACAAATATCCATGATAACTTCAATATTATTTTCCGCATTTGCTAAGATTTCTTTATCCTTTATCATTTCATTTTTTGTATATGAAGTAAGAACAATGGGAACATCCTCATAATGAATTAACGTTGGGATTGATAATTTCCATTGATCTTCTGGTAAACCAGCAAATTCGTGGAGACCACAACTAAACGCAAAAACGATATCTGGTTTTTCTAAAATATCAATGATGTCGTGATATTTACTACCAAAGTATTTGATAATGATTTTATCTTCATTTGTGTTTTGTTGTTGTATGTTTTGATCTAACATTGCTGGTCCTATAAAATAATATTTAATGGTACCATCGATTTCAGGTATCCAATGTCGGATGATTTTTGTAGCAAGTAACCAATCGGTTAACAATTCGTTTAAATCCGCACCAACAATATGGATAATCAAATCAGATTTAATGGTTTTTGTGACTTTTAAAGCATGTAAAATGTTTAAACCTAAAACTACACATAGAGTTTTAGCTATTTGAAGAGCTTCTCCTTTTTCCTCCAGTGTTAAATAATCATATAATACTTCATGAACTGATGTTTGGAGATGTTTTTGAATGTCTTTGCAACATTTCAATTCATTGTTATCAACCGGTTCAAATTCTACATAAGTTATATCTCTTGTGCGCAAATATTGATCTGTTATTAAACCTAATCTTAATTCGTTACAATATTTATTATGTTTCTTATAATCTTCTTCTTCATGTTCTTTAGAGCAATAACAAACATTAAGACATTTCTTACAACAATAAAGATCTTTTGTTGTAAAACACACTGAACAAACCCTCGGATGCAAAGTCATCATTTCTTCATGTACGTACAGCTCACGATTTAAGTCTGTTTTCCATGCGATTTGTAGCGCAACTTTGAAATTACAAAAGTCCTCAAAATTACCTTTAAAATCTTCTAATTTTATCTTACATTTACGAATTATCCGACAAAACGGTTTGTGAAATGAGCGCCAGTCGAAACATTGATGCTCATGTGAACAATAAGCTGCAATTTTACACTTCGAACAACGTTTTATCGTTGGTGATGCTTTCAAACATATTAAACAAGCTTGATTGTAAAAGATTTTTACATTATTCCTATCAACTTCCTTTGTCACTAGGGAATATTTTCCGGGTGAATCGCAATATAATCCCGATTTGGAAAACATGATTTTTGTTTATTATATATTATAAATAAGTATAAATCATTTCTCAAACACTCGATAGATAAACACCTAACCAACCTAACCTAAAAGATTTTTATACACAGATACCAACCTAAATGTTTTAAAAATCATAACATGAATTATGACTATATTCAATAAAACTATCTTATTGATTTTAATAAATATATTATATTTATTTTCAAACAAACCGAACGTGATGAAATATCACATAAAAACCGTTAAATCTTGATATATTTTGATCACCGTTTCAGTTGGTAACAATATAAATCAAAATGCCACTAGACAATGTTGTTTAAGGTTATGTTCTTTTTAGTATCACCTTGGCATCGTTTCTAACATTTTGTATCATAAAGCTTCATTAAACATTAAAAGAATCTTATTAAAACGATGGCCGATGACGAATATGACGCGGACGACGTTCAAGATGAATTCGACGACGATGTAGACGACGAAAACATCGATGATTTAGAACAACATGAGGAAGAAGGTGATAACATTGATATTCTTCAGCCGGGACAGGCCGGAGGAGGTGTTCCGAAACACAAAAGAATAACGACCAAGTATATGACGAAATATGAAAGGGCGAGGGTTTTAGGGACGCGCGCGTTGCAAATTGCAATGTGCGCCCCGGTTATGGTTGAGCTGGAGGGTGAAACGGATCCGTTACAAATCGCTATGAAAGAGTTAAAACAAAGGAAAATTCCGATTATTATTAGGAGATATTTGCCAGATCATTCGTATGAAGATTGGGCGATTGATGAATTAATTATTATCGATCATTAACTTTTAAGATTTATTGGTTGTAGTTTATGATTTTTTAAAATAAATTTATATTTTTATTGATTCTAATTATTTTTTTTTTTGTAAATTTGATTGTTTTAAATTTTTAAATAGCTTCAATACTGGAAATGTTTTTAGTGATTGAAAAGTGAGGTTATGCGGTAATTTGAATTTAAAATTGATTTCAAATTTAAAATGTTTTATTTAATTCTCCAATGTGGCCTATACTCATCTTTCTCACACTTTTATAATGGCATATAACAACGTTTAGATGATATACTAACAATATTTGTAAAACGTCAAAAACATCTCCAATAAATTTTTGTATAATTACAATTCTTTCTCTAGTAAAACTCGATGAGACTCAATATAACTTATGTTAAAATTAATTTATTTCAATTTTTTTATTTCTTTAAACTTTATTATCTAATAACTTTTTTCTACTTGATTTTTTAACTATCAAACAACTTTTTTCTATTTGATTTAAAAATTATTGCATAATCAGAGTTGATATTAACAGCCGTCCATCAAATTGCCAAATAACCTGACATCGTTGCTCCACACTTAATCATGAATTATCTAACGCCCCCCTTCCAATTGCTGTTAAGAAGTGGAAAAGAAAATTGAAAGTATCTCTATAACATTCTAACAAATACAAATACCTTTTCAAATAGTGCTTCGCTTCGGCTTGGAGTCAACCACTTAAGGTAAGTAAATGTTAAGACGTTAAACTCTTTTAATTCTTCGGTTGCAAATTTTCGCAACACTCTGACACAGATTCCAGTTAAATTACAAAAAAAACTTTAGATTTTAAACGATGCTCAAACCACAAAGATTATAAGATTGTTTTTACTTTTTCAAAAAGCAAGATTTTATCACTTCCGGTTATATTTTAGAATAATCTTGTTTAAAAAAACAACCATTACATAATTAATTACTTTAATTCCTTCCTTTCTTTCACTGTTCAAAGTGATACAATGGACTTTACAACAAAAAAAAATAGATCATTTCAAGGTTTTACTAACCTAATACGTTCTTATGAGAAGGTCAAGAATAGAGAATAAAGAAAACTTTCACACTTTTAGTTCAATTTTATCGACTCAAAGTTGCTTTTTATTTCCAGCAAGAATGGGTTCTAAATTAATTTTGATACCTTTATTGGCGTTAATTCCGGTGACATTAAGTTACTCGGGTGGCGCACCGGAAGCGGTGTGTGAAGATATGACACCGAAACATCCAAATCCGCCGCAACCACCAAAAACGTTCCCTTACAAAGTTAGCGTAAGCGAAAACGAGATTAAATCTGGCGGAAGAACGCAAATTACCATTTCCGGTGACGGATATAAAGGATTTTTGTTACAAGTTAGAGATGGGGATAAACCTGTGGGAAGTTTCCAAATTCCGGATGATCATCGATATGCGAAAACCATTAATTGTTCAGGAAAAAGGGTAAAATATTTAGTGTAAAATTCATTAAAATAGTGGTTGGTTATCACACAAATGTTTAAAATTGGCTTTTCTCGAAAAAGATTAAAAAAAAAGGATTAAATTAAGATTAGGATTGAAGTTTAGGAATTCTTGCAGAATTTTGAACCATTATTGGTAAGGATTGGTAAAATGTTCGCAGAGTTTATGCATAATATAATCAAACTGGACATCAGTCCACTTTTTCCTCAACTGAGGCCTCAAGGTTCGGCCACAGTGCTTAATGTAAGTCATAAAATTCGTCACATCGCGCGTTTTTTGAAGGCCATTTTTGTGCACCATGCCTATCATAGCACCTAATTAAAAAAAAAAACTATTTTTAAAACTAAAGCCAAAAATAAATCGGGCGATTTCAATCATGCTACAAAAATTTAACAAGCTTTTACATTTATTTTGTAACTTTTACGTCTAATTAATGTATAAATTTAAATTTTATTTTATCTTTTTCTTTTCAGAATGCAGCAACGCATAAGAACTCGGCCACAAAGAAGGAATTAACCTTGGATTGGACAGCTCCGCGTGGATCCAAAGGAAAAGATTACGTCATTTAGTAAGTTGTCTTTTTATGGCACGATTAAAAATCCTATTATAGGATTTTGACATTTTCAATGTCATTATGTAGTAATAAACATAAATAGTTAATGTAATGAATTAAATATGAATTCTATTCACAGATATTTTCGGGCGTTAGGGTATTCTAAAACGAACGCTTTGGCGTCTTCAGTGTTACTCTAGTTATATTTGTTATTCAGCACTAGATTATTGTATATTTTTATTGAGCTATAACGAACATTGCCTTCCCCATATTAGTCCATTATATCGAGGTTTTACTCTAATTGCAAATTATATTGACATGTTGCATTTTATGTGGGACAAAGTCTATGGAAATATATTTTAGTATATTGCATCTTAAGTGAAATTCACTGTGGACCCAATTAGGCATATATTAAGATTAGCTGTCCCTCTTAAAAATCGATGAATTTTTTTTTAATTGGTAGGAAATGACTCAAAAGATGTGTTAATGATGAACAAAAAGTGCGGAAAAGTGTAGTACTTACCGAAAAATTACTTTAAAGTTGCGATTTGACGTTTCTTTTTGGAAGTTAAAAGCAATGTTAAANCGTCGTCAGACCCAAGGTCTAAGTCACTATCACTTTCTGAGTTTTCGTTGTGAAACGTTTTTTTTTGAGTCGGAAAACTGTTTGACGCCGCCATAATTTAATTTAATAACGCTAAATACGGCTTGTACCCTTTTTACATTAAAAAAACTGTATTTTAAGTTTAATGTAAAAACGATTTTCTCTATTTACGAACCTGTCAACGTTTTTTTATCGGAAGTTTTTGTTTTTTAAGTAAAAGTCATAGCCTACTGATATAAAAAAATTAAATAACTCACTTTTTTTAAATATGTGGCTTGTACCGTTGTTGCCGTAAGGTCTTCAATTCACTGTGGACCAAATTAATTCAACAAAAATGTAACTTTGTTACTTTTTCTCAGATTTCATAATCTTGTTCTGATTATTTTTGGACTCATTTCTTGTAAAACATATTATATGCAAAAATAAAAATCTTTAAAATCGAAAAATAGTAGGATTATAATCTGTTTAACATTCTTTTTTTTTGCTTTTAGTGTTACTGTTGCTACCGATGGTGAAGTTTACTGGGCTAGACAACCAACAGAAACTATTAAAGTTGCATAATTTATTATATAAATTTTCCCATTCTGCAGAAATAAATGGAATATTTTCCTTTTTACAAGAAAAAATGTTTTATTTTTTTCTTTTCAATCCAAAATCATTTTTTGACATCTCATTAGCCAAATACATAAAGTAAATATGGAAAAAACATGAAAATAATTTTTTAGTTCTCATGATGAGTCATAAATTTTACCAAAACATATTTAACAAATAAAAAAAAACCTTCAGGTACACTTTATCCATAAAAAAAAAGTGAAAATTTAGACTTTAATTCTTGTCTTCATCATTTCTTTATTTACTATTATCTTTTTTTGTTGGATTTATTAATATAGGATAAAGCTAAACGCAATTTAAATTTACTTAACAATATACAACACGTCAAAAGAACGTGTGCGAAACTTTCAAAGAAACCTTAAAAAATATAAGATACCGGAAACTTACTCCTCCTTTTTTCTCATCTCAACAGAACTTCCAACGATTTCCACACTCATTACATAAAACAAACGTGGTCATTGGTTCGTCGGCGGAACGTGTTTGAATTTGATTGTAGGTGCAATTACGTTTTTTGCATTTTCCACATTTAAGAAGATCCGTTTTTGTACCTTGCGCTGTCGCCAATTGGGCGTCATTTATCGCTTCTTTTTTAAATCGTTCTCGTAGCGATTTTATTTCATCATTTGCCATTTCCTCAGCTGTCATCACTGCTAATCGAGCTGCCGGCAATGCCCCCACACGGAAATTCGTACGTAACATTGGATTTTTTACGTCTTTTAAATTTGCAATTCTTGATCTTATACGATTTTTATATCGCATATCTGTGTTTTTAAATTCTTGGTATATTGCTTCTTCAAGTTCTTCTGCCAATTCTTCAGTACTAGCACATCCTAAAAGTAAAAATTTTAACAAAATTATATAATTTAAGTATATTTTTACCTTCAAAATCATTTCCATCAACTCTCAAAGCAGCGGCTAACATTTCCCTACATTTCAACCGAACTGCATCTGTTGTGTTTGAACTGCTCGGAAATTGACTAGGTAACTTTTTTCCGATTTCTTTATCCTCCTTAACTTTATTATCTTCTTTTTCTTTCTTCGGCTTTGTTGAACTACTGGTGCTGCTGCTGTTTGTATCTTTATTCGAGCCGGAGATAAATTTTTTCCAATTTTTAATGAGCGTCTTCGCCAGCGTTATAACTTCTTCATCTGTGCTAGATTTTCTCAAAGCATTTACGGTCATTCCAATTCGCGTTTTTGTTAAAACGTCCAAATTAATGTCTAACTTTTGTAGTTCTCTTAATAAATCTAATGCTTGTTCCTGACCCTTAAATTACAAAAAATTTTTTTAGGTTAATTTTTAAAATGTCAAAAAAAAGTAAGGTTAGATTATACCAAAATTCTCGGTTTCATAACTTAACTCAAAATTAAAAAACAATTAAGCCAGAAATATTAAAATTATATTAGTATTTTTTAAAACTTTTATATTTCCCGCCAAACAAAACCATAAACAAAACGAACTAAAAAAATAAACCGAAAATAACATATACTAATTAAGTTGGCAATGAGTTTTACTTAATCATATTACTTTTCTATTCATTTTAACGATAATTACTACCTTACAATAATATTTTTTAATTGATTTATTGATAAATGTTCAAAAATTTACGCCAAGATTTAAATCGCAACTACAAACAATTCGTATCGTTTTATTAAAGAGGAAGTGTACGTACCGAACCGTCGGCCGACGTCATTTTCGTGAGCTTTTTCTGTATGCGCATCACTTCCTCTTCGACACTCATTGTTGTTCCGTTTTATTATCAAGAAAAACGAATCGAAACGAATGGTTTTTTTATAATCGGCACGTAAAGCCCCAAGAGCAAATGCCAGAATGGCTGACAAAAATGACAAGAGTCGCCGCCTGCCGCTTCCCGGACGCCAACGCATGCGCAACACAATTCCCCAATAAGAAGAAAAAAAGAACTACATAACAAAGATTTAAATTAATATTATTGTTTATATAACAAAAATTTAAAATTTATGATTCTTTCGATTATATTTCAAAATTATTAACAAAAAATGTTAATTAATTTATAAATAAAAAGTTAAATTTGCTCAAAATTAGAACAAGTAGTGATGCCAATCGAAATAATACACAAACATTAAAAATCACTAGATATTTTTAATATCTTTTTTGACAGTTATAAACAATCACCGGTGATAATAAAATTGTGTAATTTTATTGATTAATAAATGAGTACAAACCTTAAGCCACAATAAAACACGTTAATAATGATTATAAAAAAAGTTTTTAGGTTATTTTCCCTCAACAAATCCATTAAGGTAAAGCTTAATTTTCCAATTAACTTGATAAATTTCAATTGAATCGTAATTTTTAGCTTTTAAACACCAATATTTATACCCGAACACTGCATAATAAGATTATTTTAAACGAAAAAAATTTCAAAGCGAAAAAAGGAGTGTATTTAATCGACGAAAATGATGAAATTCCTCAAGAAATGGTTAAAAATTACAATAAATACACAGAAAGGACTTGTTCTTGTGGGGAATTAAGGATTGAAAACGTTGGTGAAAGAGTTATTTTATGTGGTTGGGTTGAATATCAGCGTATGAAAAAGTTTGTTGTTCTTAGGGATGGATATGGGCACACTCAAATTATTATTAAAGACACAGTATTTTAATAAACATTAAATTAGCTTAATAATTATTTAAAATGCGTTAATTTTAGGCAGAGGATTTACAAGATTTATTTGAATCATTACCATATGAATCAATTGTTAAAGTTGAAGGAATTGTAATAAAAAGACCCCAAGATATGATAAATAAAAATCAAGAAACGGGTGAAATCGAGGTTTTAATCGATAAGGCAATTATTTTAAACAAGTCGAAAGATAATTTACCGTTTAATATTCGCGAGTTTCAAAAAGCCAAAGAATCCCTTCGAATGCAATATCGTTACTTGGACTTGAGATTTCATGAAATGCAAAGAAATTTACGTGTTCGTTCCGAAATATTAATGAAAATGCGAGAATTTTTAATCAACAAAGTTGGATTTGTTGAAATTGAAACTCCAACGTTATTTAAAGCCACTCCAGGTGGAGCTCAAGAATTTGTTGTTCCAACGAGATTTCCCGGACAATTTTATTCACTTGTTCAAAGCCCCCAACAATTTAAACAAATGTTAATGGCTGGAGCTGTTGATCGGTTTATTTTAAAACTTAACATAAAAAAATTTAAAAAGTGAAATATAGTTATTTCCAGGTAGCTAGGTGTTATCGGGATGAAGGTTCCAGACCAGATCGACAACCGGAATTTACTCAATTAGACCTTGAAATGTCTTTCACAGACTCGGAAGGTGTTATGTCTGTTATCGAAGATTTATTTCAACATTGTTGGCCTAATTTCTTATCGACTTTACCAAGAGCGTTTCGAAGAATCACCTATAAAGATGCCATGGAACGATTTGGAACTGATAAGCCGGATATAAGGTTTGGATATGAAGTTAGCATATCTAAAAATGTGGGTTTATAAAAATATGAAAAGATTTTTTTGTAGTTGAAGAATTGTACGGAAGTTTTAAACGCCAACATTAAGTATCGCTCACCGAATATGCACTCATTTTGCTTGGTTTTTCCTGGACAATTAAATATTTTTACGAAATCGCAAAAAGAAAAGTTTGCAGATCTCGCGAAAGGTTATCGCGACGTGAAATTTGTGCAAAATAAAGTTGCGAATAAGGATGAATGGATTGAGAAAATGTCGAATTTATTGAGTACTGAGGTTGCGACCACTTTTTATAATCGATACTTTTTAGATGATGAAAGTGTTGTGTTTTTGGTGTATGGACCAAAAAAGGCAGCGGTAAGAATTATAATAATAATGTATTGTTAAATACTGTAAGACCTCGTTTAGCGCGGTAGATGCGTTCCTGAAGATAAGAGCGCTATACTTTAATTTTAAATTAATTTATGTTATTTTGTATAACATAAACATTTGCAAAAATATAATATACAGAGTGATTCACATAAGAACCGACACAGAGCAGGGACATGTAGAGGACAATAAACTAAGTTGATTTAAAGTAACTTACCTCTATACTGAGTTATACACCTGAGGAGTTATAGGACTTCAAAGTTGGCTCTTAAATTTTTAAAAAGTTCAATATGTTCGTAATAAATTAAGCTAGAAAAACCAAATTTGGTATATGTTATGAATGTACCAAGAGTATTAATTGGTAGCAAATTGAACTCAATTGAGGCATTTCAAAGTGTTGATTAAGGGTGATGGTACCTTAAATTTTGACAGATCTTTTTAACCTGTTGACGGATTTTATACATTACTACTTCATTTCATGTGGAAATTAATGCTAAAACTTTTTTTACTCTTATTATTTTTTAAAAAACTTTGTTGTTTTCATAAAAAACTTAAATAACTAAAGACACTTATTTCGTAATGTAACTTAAAATAAGCGAAAATTCAATTGTACGTCAAACTTGACAAATAGGTTATAAAACCTTGTTGTCAAATAATTTTATAACCTATTTGTCAAATTTGACGTACAATTTCACAGCCGACTACTGAATTTTCGATGATTTTAAGAAGCATTACCAAAATACGTGTCTTTAGTTATTTGAGTTTTCTATGAAAACGACAATGTTTTTTAAAAAATAATAAGAGTAAAAAAAGTTTTAGAATTAAATTTCACATGAAATGAGGAATAATGTGTTAAATCCACCAAAAAGGTTAAAACAATCTGTCAAAATTTAGGAGACCATCACCCTTAATCAACCCTTTGAAATGCCATAATTGGTCTCAATTTGCTACCAATTAATACCTTCAGTACACTCATAACGTATACCAAATTTGGTTTTTCTAGTTTAATGTATTACGAAGATATTCAATGATTTAAAAATTTAAGGCCCAACTTTGAAGGCCTATAACTCCTCAGGGGAACAACTTAGTATAGAGATACACTGTCGGACATAATTCACGAGCACACCTTATATAATTTGAACGCGTGAAGATAAATCCATGATATTTGCGGAGCACAAAGGTTTACTGTAGACGAGTTTATTCATCGAGTTTCGAGTTGTTCCGTCGCGGCATTGTTGACTGAGCCGCTCTTCCAAGTGGAACTTTCCGTCGTTATGGAGACCGAAGTGGATGGAAAATACCGGTCGTTTTTAGTGTGGTGTGAGGAACCACATTGTTATCGTACTCTGTGCGCAATGGATCGCGTTACTTAAGCGAGTTGGAGCGAGGAATGTTTGGGGGTATGCACATTGAGGGTATATCGTTCTGTGAAATTGCGCGTCGTCTCGAGCGATCGTTATCGGCAGTGCAACGGGCATGGCGAGAATGGTCTGAGGTAAGACATAGGCACCTAAAGCCGCAGCCGGGACGGCCCTGCGCGACCCCAGCACACGAGGATCGCACTCTTGTGCTCAGCGCTTTAGCGTCGTGTGCGTCCTCCTCAAGGCAACTTGGAGCTGTTTGGCCACCGGCAGGGGAAGGCGCACTCACTACGCGAACTGTACGGCGGCGTTTGGTAGATAGTGGACTGGCGCGCGCGTCGTGCAATACAGCGGATTCCAGTAACA